AGCCCCCCACACCCACCGCCCGCTCCAAAAGCCCCTAATACTCGTCAGCGCCCCCGTTCGCTCAGGCCCAGCTCACAGCGCCCTCGGGCATCACACTCAACGACTTCAGCTCCGCCGCAGCAGCCGCAGCAGTAGCAGCTATGGTGGCACCAGCGGCTCAAAACGCGAACTAGAGCCTGGGCCGAGCTGCGCCGGGAGGCGGGGCCTAGGCGAAGGGGGTGCGGTCTGCAGCAGATCGGTTCTTGATTGGACGAGCGACGCCTGTGGGGGCGGAGCCAAGAAATGAACCGTAGAAGCAGAGGGCTCGGGATTCTGCACAGTATAATTGTGGGTACCGCTCTTAAAGGAAGGTCAACATAACATAGCTTTGAATTGAGAGAACCAAGCCTTTTACGGTATTATCAGGCCTGGTCCCCCAGAGAACTTCCCAGATCCCCAAGATGATAACCACGCCCCCAGGCCCAAGGTTGATATTTGGTAGGCCTGAGACCATGGCTGAAATTTAATTCCTAACTCATAAAAAAAAAAAAAAAAAAGGTTGGGATGCAGCCAAAAGAACTCCTTTCCACTTCAAGTGCTGGGATTTAACATGGTTGGAATAGTTTGTGATTACGGCCAGCCTGACACGTGGAGTAACTCTACTCACACACTTTTGAACTGAACAGCCTGTTAATGATGGAAGACTCAAGCCTCCAATAGAGCCTTAGGTACCTGCGAACAGAGAAAGTAAATGAATGCACCTATGATACCAACCATCATTTCCTTAGCTGCCAACGTCCTTACAGCACTTTATTCACAGCGTTAACGGTGTTTTGCTATTCCAGATCTTTTCCCAGCCTTGTCAAAATTTGCAAAACACCCCTAGGATGACACCGATATCAAGCTTGCTGCTATCGTTGTTGCTGTTTTCTAGCTCATGGAGCTAGGAGAAATGTTATCACATACTCATGCTTCACAGATATGTAAGTCGGTTCATTTTTAGAAGCCCTAGAATTTCCCATCTAGTTACTACTTTAAGAAATTACCTGGAGGTGTGTGTGTGGGTGTGTGTGGGGTGGGGTGGGGGGCGCTGGACAGATGGACCAGAGATTAAGAGCACTGGCTTCTTTTCCAGAAGACTCAGGTTTAATTACCAGCACCCTCGTGGCATCTCACCACCATTCCAGGGGATTTGTCGCCCTCTCCTGGCCTCTGTAGACACCAGGCACAGGGACGCACAGACATAAGAGTAGGCAAAACACCCACCCGTTTACATTTTTTTTTTTTTTTTTTTTTTTTTTTTTTTTTTTTTAAGAAACTGCCTTCTGAAAAGGATAGCCTAAGAGTGATGTGTCTCTCTCCCATTCCAGACTTTGAGAATTCCTGGAGAAGATGGTGGTTTTGCAAAAGGGAACGATCCCTAATATCAGTGTTTAGCGGTATTTGCACAACCACGGTTCAAACAGGAAGGTACCTGTGTACTATATAGCTATGTATTAAAAGCAAATGTATAAAGCTCACAGATTGATATGGGTATCAGGGATGCTACCAATTGGCAATAGTAACCAGAGGTCTAAGGCCTCTATCCTTTCAACCAAACATTATAGCTCTAATGAAACTAAAATGGGACTTGCAAATTTATTGTCTAAACCTGAAGTCAGGAATGATCATATAACTATAGAAACAGCTGATTCTCGGCACTGTTAATAATCTGTGACTTGGCCTCTCCACGGAAGCTGCTGTAACACTAATAAATGGCGCCACCTGGTGTCTTCATTTGTGTTCTACAGACTCTGGTCTTCTCTGACCAGATCGTTAGGCAAATTTCTGTTTACTAGTAGGTATTCTCACTTCTCATTCAATGCTAGTAAATGGGTTTACAAGTGTAATCTCTCATCCAAAACTACATTGCGTTAGCTCCTTAGACACACACACACACACACACCCCTAATTACTCTCATCTGATCTGAACTGCATGGGCAAATCTAAGTGCTTGCTTTCCTTGTTTAAAGATGAGACTCATCTAAATTGAAAACCAGAGAAAACATGAGGGATTATAACTCTTGAAATTGGTATTTTCAGTCTAAGGACAAAAATCACTTTTAAAATTCTTCCCAATCCAAGCAAAATGTCTAGGTATCATGCTACCTTTGAGCTGCTAGTATGGCAATAGGTTGAAAGTGTTCTTGTGTTTCACGGATTCCCAAGTGCAACGTGAAGAGAAGCGGTGACTTCCTTTACTCACGCGTCATTCTACTCTCCAAGAAGCAGTTGACCTCCATGGTGGTGTGCTGGTTGTGTGTGTCCAAAGCAAACACACGTGGTGTTCAAGATTCTAAAAACCCCGGATGTTTGGGAATTTGATAGTAGTCTTGCTTAGAATTATTAGATGAGATTTTAAAATTCATCCTAGGCAAATAAGGTGCAGAGGTCCTGGGCTATTAGCATGCTGGAATAAGCATTTGCTCATCAACCCAAGTATTTATTGAGCACCTTTACATTCAAGGCACTGTGAGAGAGCTGAGACCAACGAATGCAGTTGGAAACAAAAGAGATTTCGAGTCAGTGCTTCCAAAGCTGCTTTCCCATTGGGGGGGGAAGAAGCTTTTTTTTTTTTTTTTTTTTTCCTCCTGGAACTGAGGATCGAACCCAGGGCCTTTAGCAAGCGCTCTACCACTGAGCTAAATCTCCAACCTCAAGAAGCTATTTTACAAGCAGGTTACAATGACAGAATAGTTTAGATTTGCCTCCAAATTTTCACCTTCTTGTTATCGTTTAGCCTCCTAATCCATATCCATCACTGCTGCTTAACTCTGTAAGTCAGTTTTAAATACACTAAAATTAGTTTTTTAATTGTATATGAAATTATTTTAATTCCCAATATGCATAACTTTGTCTTCATCAACAGGCAATAATTTATCTACCTTAGCTTCACTATGTTCCTCTGGCTAGCCTGAAACTCACTATATAGACTAGGCCAGCCTTGAACTCACCTGCCTCCATTCTCCCAAGTCCTGGGATTAAAAGGCTTTTTCTTTTTTGAGACAGGGTCTAACTATGCAGTCCTGGCTGGTCTAAATTTCCTAGAACAGACTATAAAATGTGGTTTTGTTGTTGCTATTTCTATGTTGAGGGGTTTGCATATACCATGGCATAAGTTAGTTCATGGTAGAAGTCAAGTTCTCTTCTTCTACCATATGTCTTCTTGGGATTTGAAATGAGGTAATCAGGGTTGAAAGCAAGTACTTTTACCTAGTAAGTCATCTCACCAGCCCTAGCTTTAATTTTCAGTGTACTAAGTTATCCATGTATGTGCAAATTTTTATGTGCATGCAGGTGCATCTGCACTTGTATGTGGGTATGGAGACTAGAGGACTACCTCTAGTGCCATCCTCATGAATGCCACCAAGTTGCTGGGACAGGATGATCCCTCACTAGCCTGGATCTTACCAATTTGGCTATATTGGCTGGGCAGAGAACCCCAGGAATCCTCTTGTGTCTCCACCTTCCCAGTGCTGGGATTACACAACTGGCACTTTTACTTGGGTTACTCAATCCCAGTCATACTTGGGAGGGAAGCACTTTTCCTAACCGAACCATCCTACTAGCCAATGTGGATGTGAGTTTTAATTAGCAATGATACAACATGGGGCTATCAAAAGGCCCTTATAGCATTTTCTTCAAAACCAACAATTCTATGCAATCAACTTTGATTCCTTGAGTACCAGTGATTCTCTATGAAATGAAGGCATAAACCTAAGTTCCTGAAAATGAGCTGCCTACACTAATTAATTCTAGAAGAGACAAGGGCTATTACTATATTGCAGACTTGTCTTCAAGGACTAGTGATCACACAATTCCGCTATAAATTACTACAGTCAGGAAAAATGTATGAAACTTTGCCAAAAATAATCTATAAAGATGTGTGTGATGGTACACACCTTTAATCCCAGTGAGTAGAAGCAGGCGGATCTCTGTGAGTTCAAGGCCAGCTTGATCTCCATAGAATTATAGGCCAGTCAGGGTTGCATAGTGAGACCGTCTCAAAAAAAAACAAAAACAAAACAAAACAAACAAACAGAAAAATCAAAGTATAGATGTCTACTGTCTTCTGTGTTAAAAACATTTTCAAACCTGTAAGAAAGGCCTACTATCAATTTCATAAGCTTATATAACTAACTGTGATCTATTAATTATCTTAACTAATCAGGAACACCAACAGTTCAATGTTTAAAAGACTCCCATAAGAACACTTTGTAGCCGTGGTGGTGGTGGCCCACGCCTTTAAATCCCAGCACTTGGGAGGCAGAGCCAGGTGGATCTGTGTGAGTTCTACTAGGCCAGCCTAGTCTACAGAGCGAGATCCAGGACAGGCACCAAAACTACACAGAGAAACCCTGTGTGTGGGTGGGTGGGGGGGCACTTTGTAAAATTATGAAGTCCTTTAACACCTTGTCTGAAGAACACCTATCAGGCTGTCAAGATGGCTCAGTGAGTTTAACTGTTTGTTGTGAATGCTTGACAACCTGAGTTCAATCCCTGGTAGGAGAGAAGTGAATCCACAAAGGTGTCGTTTATCTCCACATGCATGCCATGGCACATGTACCCGATACACATGCACACATTTTAAAAGAACACCTATATTCTCTAGCCAGTAAGACTGTGTTTATGTCCTGTTGTTCTCCACAAGGCAACAGTGGTACTATGAAACGAGCTCTTCACTACAGAATGGCAAATATTGTCATCCAATTATATGTAGTTTTGAAGTCCTAAACAAGACACCAAAGGTCTTCCCAAATGGCACATAAAACGTTTAAGGACAAGAAGCTTCTGAAAAGATCACTTCAATGGCATTCTCTCTCAAATATATCTAAGGACATTGAATTCTCCAACCAGGCACAAACCTCCCAACACCAAGTTCTGATTTAATTAGTATAACTGGTTTATTTCAGGTTCACGTCTTGCCTTCCAACTGCCAAACTTGTTATTTCTAAAAAAATAATCACTTTCAAAAGCAGAAATGAAAGATATATATTTAATATATAAAAGAAAATGCTAAATCTGACATAATTATATTCTTAAAAACATTCCATTTATTTACAGGTGTATAAAAAGGCGAGTTATTGGTCTACTGAGATCATGCTTCTTAGTTAGGGTGGGAGCTTTTTTTCCAGGTTCCTTCAATGTTCTCACTTAAATTCACCTTTCATAATCATACATGTCATTTTCATAGACCAGTTTCTCCTAATATAAGGTTACCCTAATGCAAAGGGTAGGAGTTTGGGGAGATTATGGATTTCTGTCAAGACTACAAGATTGTTCTGAAGACTAAGCCCTCCTCAAATTAGCCCTGATAGCTCCTAAATCTGTCTTAAGAACAACGTATCTTGGGAGTTTGTAATAACATCTGCAGCTTTCCCTGAACACCTAGAACCAAACCTCATTTCTATCTTTCTACATCTCTCATAAACACAGCCAAGTATCTTCCAATCAAGAATAAACTCTGACCTATTTTTTGCCTATTTTTTTTTCCAAATTTAAAAAAAAAAAAGGGGAAAAAAAAAAAGAAAGTATTCAGAAGCTAAAATGGTCCTTCTTTTCCTGAGGATTATTCACTCCCTTGTCTACTTCTTGTCTGACTCTCAAAAGCCAGAAGGAAACATGGGAAAGAAACAGGCAATAAAACCACTGGAAACTGCTATGCCCGGGCTAAAGAACTAGGTCTCCGAGGACAGCTGTTAGCAAGGGCGACAGGGGCTGCACTCCTTGGCTAAGGCATTGGATGAAGTCAGCTGGGTAAAGGACAAAAAGGACAAAGGAGAAGCGAGGAATCCTGTTTTACTATGTCAGGCTTTTGTAGTAAACAGGAGGTTAAGTGCTGCTGAGCTGTCCAGGAAGGCAGGCAGGCAGCACAAAACCAATGAAGAGTTTACTTCCACTGCATTTTCAGTGGAAGTTTCTTCATCCTTTCCATCTGATGATTATCAGAGTTAATCTAAAAAGGGAATCAAACACAGAAGTCCTAATTCACTGGCTAGATTCATTCCAAAGTTGGTCTCACAACCTAGGTCTGAAGATACACTGAGTGGGACTTGAGATAGAGAAGGCAGGGATGTAAAAGAAATAGAATTCCCAGGCACTGCCCAGGCACCGGAAGCACTTGTGTTAAAGTGTTTTACAACACAAGCAAATCCTGTCATTGAAGACAGAACGGGTTACATTCCAAAATATAATTATTTAAGAAAGGCAAAATGCAGCAGCGAAATCTCAGTCTATACATTTTCAGAACAGTGATTCTTGCCCCAGGAGTTTCCAAGAGACCCCTCAAATGCACCATGATTATTTACAAACTAGATAGGAAACATTTCTATACTCAATACAAATCTCTTCTAGGTTGAAAACTTCATCCTTTGAGAAATCTATGAAAACAACTATACAAAAATATAAATATCTTCATCTTTACAAGTTGTCAGTCCTTCATATCCTGACAGTTAATGAGTGAAAAAGCTCTATAGATCATTGATGCCATGGTAGCAGATAAAAAATATATCTTGTGACTCAAATACTGCCTTACTTCCCTGGTAAAGAATGCCTACTGTGATTTGCCTTTTCTTTACATCCTGTGAAGGTAACAGTGAATGAAACCTTCAAGCACTTAGAGGCTGGTTCCATTTAGGAAATATCCAGCTCCACAAATTTTTATTTTGGCTATGGTCTCTGGTTTGGGGAGAAAATGCTTTTTATTTTAGCTGTTTCTGGAGTGACATGATTTTGGAAAAAGAAGGAACTGTCTCTATGTCTACCTCCGAAAAACTAATGGGTAGAAATCCCTGGCATTGTGAACAAATCTTTCAATATCCCAAAAAACAGTAAGGAAGTATCTCTTTTTTAGCCTCTCAAAATACGTACATTAATAGTAAAAGTTAAAAGTATATTCCTACTTTACCAGAAAGCTTAAGTTTATGATGATGACTGAAAGGGTAAGGGAACAGCTATTCAGGATATGAAAGAACAGTCTACTGAATGACAAAAACCCTTCACTTTGGTATTCCATAATATCCATCCTAACATAACATTCTTCCCTCCTCCTTTCTCCCCCAATTTGTGTGTGTGTGTGTGGGGGGGGTTCTTTTATAGCCAGGCCAGACACAGCTTGTAATTCTCCTGCTTCCGTCTTCTAAGTGGTAGAATTACAAGTGTGCACTAACACGCCCAGCTCTATCATGCCCTATTGTTGAAATAGTAACTACAAATTCTTTTTTAGCTCCCTTTACACAACTGTATCCAAATTCTCAGATTTTAGAGCTAACAACTATCACCTGCAGTTTAGTTCATAGTAATTCCAAGTCTCAAGCATTTTCTCAGGGGAAAAAAAATAAGGTACTCGAGGGAGCCAGGTTCTTGTTATGAATTCCTTGGGCAAGAGGGATCACACCTTCTTAGAGAAGATGGGGCACCCAGCACCACAAGTGAGGTAACATTTTTAACATGATCAGAATTTCAAACACCAGGACCAGCACCCTACGCCCCCTTTCTCCATCAATATCCACACATAATCAAAGTCAAAGATTATAGTTCGGTAAGACAAACACACAGATGCCTGCAGAGAAAGGAGGTGAAATTCAGTTTCCCCTCATAGCCTGGCTTTTGCATGAGGATGAATGAGTTCATTTCCCTGAAGAACTTGATGGAACCCCGGAGCTGCCCAATTTAGCCACAACAGGTGCCAATGTAGGCATCACCTTGTTCTCCCGACCTTCCTGGTCATTATTCCCTGTTAAGTTCACTTTGTGTCCAACTTTGGCAGCTATAGGTGCCAAGGAAGGCATCACCTTGAGACTCTGACCATCTGCGTCACTAGGAGGATTAGCCACTTTTAAACCCAAAGGGGCCAACTTTGGCATAGGCCTCCACAAAGTATCTGTGTTGCTGTTCTCTGGGCCAGTCTTCATGTGTAGGATGGGAGGTGAGGATACACTTTCAGGCTCTGCAGGGAGACCCGAAGTACTCTTCCCTCTATCACCAGATTTCCTATGGGGAACCAGAGAATCCTTTATCTCAGAGTCGATAACAATCTTAAGGACATCTGGCTCAGAAGCTGTGTCCCCAAGTTGTTTTTCATTCTCAGAAAAGTCATCATCTTCCAAGTGCAACAGGAGGGGGCTGATTGATTCACTCTCCTCTTGGACATCAGGCAACTCTTTCAAACCTGTTCCCAAGTGTCCAACCTGGAAAGCTGATCTGTTCCCAGGAGCAAGTTTACTGATAAAAGCTCGATGAGCATCCTCTGGGAATTCTGTATCCATTGGGCCAGGCAGTTCCGCCAGGCCGGAGTCATCGTTCAGTTGCTGATTGAGAAAGGCGATCTCATTGAGCAGTGAAGTCAGGGTCTCATCAGTGTCATCCTCATCCTCCGTGGCAGTCAGCAGCTCACTGGGATCAAGGGCTGCATCCTCAATAGCTGACGCCACCTTCCTCAGTTCCATCTCTATGCTTGAGTCCTTGAGATCCTTCATCTTTAATTTATGAAACTGCGATTCCTTTGACTTCAATCTCTCCCCTCTCAACTCACACTCTTTCCATTTATACCGATGTCCTCTCACATCACCAGAAATCTTTTTAGGTACAAACTCCTGTGCTGCCTGCATATTGGAAATATCGACTACATGTGGAAACCCAGAATCTTTATTTGCCAAAAACACTTGTGTTGCGCCCCGTGCCATTCTGCCATCTCTATGGTTTCCTCTGGAAGAGATCCTATCTGTATCTTTTAAGGAACTAGCTTCATTCCCAACAATGTCTCTCAGGTGGTCAAGTGGTTTGCCATCAGGAACTTCATGAGGATATTTGCTGCCACCCACACCTACCAAATCGTCCTCTGCAGCCAATGATGTCACATTAACAATTCGTGGCATCATAAATAAGTCATCATTCTCTGAAAATTAAAAATTAAAGACAGAATTCATTAGATTTACAGTAATGAGAATTTCTTATCTCCCCCTCTCTTTCCCAAGTCATTCTATCTGAATTCACCAGTCCACTTCTATCAGAAAGATGGATGAAATAGCAAGTCAAGTAAAATCTAGCCAAGACACTTGAGATATTTCATTATTAGTAATACTTCCATTTAATTATTTTTTAGAAATCTCCACAGGATAATTCTTTTCTTTTTCTGGATTGGGAGAGCAGTGGTAGAGACAGAATCCAAGGCTTTGCCTATACTAGGCAAGTATTCTATCGCTGAGCTACATTCCCAGCCCTAGGTTCAGACAGAGTTGGGATCTTCCTATGTAGTCCAGGGCTGGCCTCCAACTCACAAAGTCCTGCCCTAGTTTCCTAAGTGCTGGAATTATGGGCACAGGCCACCATCAAAAGTCCAGCCTGCCAAGCTAATTCTTGTCCTGAGGTAGAAATACATCTTGATTGTGTTCACCCAATTAACTGCTAATTAGAAGGGAAAATGGAAGTCAAGGATCAGCACAGCAAGGGGAAAGGAGTACTCCAGAGTAGACCTGGCAGCAGAGACAAGGAACTGTTGCTGTACTGGCAACAGAACAACTACAATTCTAAGAGTGATGAGTATACACTTCCTTAACAGAGGATTGGATGCCTGGAACCCAAACTACCAAAATCATACTTTAGTCTTTGCTGAGAAAAGGAGTGTTGCTCAAACAATACATTGGATTGGTACCATGGGAGTACACCCCTTCTAAGTACAAAACAATGAATGATCAATATCAAAAACATAAATATTGACCCTTCCATATCATCATTTCATTCTGACATCATTTTAATTCTTCTCCTGCTTAGAAATTTCACTAGAGCCGGTTGTGGTGGCGCACGCCGGTAGGATTTGCTGAAGAAATTTCACTAGAGTTCACAAAACAGTTTCCAATCCCAGGTAAAACCACCCATTAAGCTAGGAGGGCCATTTCTTACCAAGACAAATGCCAACAGATCAGCTCTGGATTACTACGGAACAGATCCAAAGGCTTCCTGTCACTGAGATACCATGACCTTTTTTCCTAACAATAGAGGATACCACCACACACCTGACTGAGCCATAGTACTACTTGCAACTTGAGGCTTCAGATCAGCATCTAAGAGAGCAGGAGAGACAGCTACCACTGGTCCTGAGAATAGGGGGCCTTTGAGGGTAAGTAACTGGCCTTGTGGAGTCATCACCAGGTTTGCAGAGGAGTGTGGAGTATTAGAAGGCAATGCATTTTCTGCAAAGAAAATGAAAAGTTAGTAAAACAAACTTTCAATTAATGTTAGTGTACTGGAGAGAGGCAGTCATAAACCCTGACTTGAGAGGTACAAAGGAAGCTTAGATGAAAGCATACACAAGTCTATTCACAGGCTTCTTGTCCTATACACTCCTATAAAAGTCATTTAAGTTTCTAGGCCATAGTGTCTTTCCATTTGTGAATTCAAGTAACTGGTCATTCAATTCTTTTCTTAAAATACTATTATTTTACTCCGTAATGTTAAAACTAGTTCTTATTTTAGAATCTACTTGAATCGATATAAGTCAGATTTTTCTGGTCCATACACTGAGCTATTTTAAGAGTCAACAAGAACACTCTGGAGCTGGGTGGTGGTGGCGCACACCTTTAATCCCAGTATTCGGGAGGCAGAGCCAGGTAAGATCTCTGTGAGTCCGAGGCCAGTCTGGTCTACAGAGCAAGATCCAAGACAGGCACCAAAGAAACCCTGTCTCGGGGCGGGTGGCAGTGGTGGCGGTGTAATCGTGAGATGGATGTGTTTCATTTCACAGAATTTGGAAGATTTTTAAAGTTTATACACCATACCATTGACACCTATTCAGGATTTCAATGGGCAACTCCTTTGAGTTCTGAAAAGGCTGATTCTGTGATTATACACCTATTAGAAGTTATGGCCATCATGGGAATACTTGTACAAATTAAGACTGACAATGCCCCATGTTGGGCGCCATTTATTACGATCAATTCACATGAGTCTATTAAGTGGGTAACAGAATTTATTAAGATATACATTGAGGAAATACACTCACGATTACAGAACTGAGTAGACAGCAGAAGTTGTCCTCTGATCTGACTGGGAGTGAATCCACCTCAAAGGGAGGAGCAGGGAGATGGGTCATGTGACCCCTCTCCAACTCCTTATAAGAGGTCATGACAACAGCAGAAAGCACTACCTCCTTTGGGCCTTATAGCACAAGGTCATGGGTGGAGCAAATACCACTACAACACTCTCTCTCTAAGACACCAGCAAGTAACAATGAACCAGTGTAGCCACTTCCAAAATCAACAATAAAAAAGAAATTAAAGCCAGTTTCCTTTGTTCCTTAATAGAAAAAAATGAAAAATGGACTAGTTCAAAGAAATTAAAGTATTCCTTTTTAAAAGAAACAACAGTCTCACTATGTTACCTAGGCTGACCTAAATTCTGAGCCTTAAGCAATCTGCCTGTACTAGCCTCCCAAGTAGCTGAGACTATAGATACATATCCTCATGTCCAATTTAACTTAAAAAAAAATTTTTTAAAGTTCCAATTTATTTCTTAACCAATAATAAATACAAGAAAATCAAAAGTTCACATACAAAAGCAATCATGTACTTACTAGAAACATATATTGTAGACTGCTATCACAACTAGGATTCACACCTTAGAATACTAATGTCTTAGGACTTATCTGTATGTGTAAAACCAAAAACTGAAATTTACAACTTAAAAGTTCTATTTTTATTTTTCTTTTCTTGTTTTTGTTTTGTTTTGTTTTTGAGACAGGATTTCTCTGTGTAACCCTGGCTGTCCTGGAACTCACTCTATAGACCAGGCTGGTCTCAAACTCACAGAGATCTGCCTGCCTCTGCCTCCTGAGTGCTGGGATTAAAGGCATGCGCCACCGCCACCACCCAGCTATAGTTCTTTTTCTTAAAACTCATCCCTAATTCATTTAATGAGAACTATAGGCAAGAAAAGACGTTCAGTCCACTAAAATAAATTGATGTATACCTATATTAAGGAAAGCAAAGGACGTCCCTCCTACCTGTAGCCTGGTCTCTTTTTCTGGAAAGAATCAAAGGTTTCCCCCTCCTGTTATTTAAGAACATTTGTCCAAGATCTACAGATGATGTAGACGATCCCTCCAGCTGTTTGCTAATTCTGGGAGAGACACCAAACTCATCTGATCCCATCTTCTTTTTTCTTTTTTGTGCCTCTAGTGCTTGTTGTTTTGCATAAATATACTCTAGCTTCTTCAGGACCACTTCTTCTGTCTTACCTACAGGTTGATAGGGAATAAAGTTACCACTCTCTGTATGACCCCACATAATGAGAAATAGCTGAAATCTAGTTGATTTAATTATATTCCCCAAAATTATGGAAGGCAAGAGTGATTACAATTCAGAAGATATAACCCACTCAGTCAGAGGTAACTCTGCTATAAATCTGAGATGCCAATCCTTAATCTAAACAGACTCTGAAAAACCCAGTGAGCATTTCCCCTTGCTAAAGATTTATTGTGCTCTTTCCCACATTTACACAGCTTACCTGAAAGAGATGATACCTTCCGTATCAAAACATTTCGTTTTCGACTCAGGAGATTTTTCTGTCCTATCAATTTATCTGCCTGGTCTGTTAGTCCTTGAATTTCACTGAATGCCTAAAATAGAAACAGTAATGTCAATAGACTACTAACTCCTAAAAGTACAGAAGGCCTACATAATTTCTTTAATAAAAATATTTTAAACTAGTATTTTGGAGAACATTATAAACAACTATTGATGTTTCAGAAATTGGTTAATGGACCGAGCCATTGACTGTGGTGCTGGAAATAGAAACTTAGGGCCTTGTGCATGCTAGGCCAGTGTTCTACCTCAAGCTCTATCACCAACCCAGAACTTTTTGTTAAATTGTTTTCTAGCCTGTATTTTTAGGGAATGTAGATAATGATCATTCCTAAAGATCATCACTGAGTGGTTTCAACTACTACAAGCAGATATAAAACATTCATGTTGTGCTTATATTTTAATTCAATTTTAAAATGTTTATAAAATCTGTTTCATTTCAATAGAATATGAATGCTAGATGTATACTTCCTCCAACTTCTACTTAAAAGTAATGAAACAATATTATCTTAGATGGTTTATGAATAGAGCTAAAACTTCTGCTAACTTGAGTATTTCATTTTTTTTTTTAAAGACTGTCAACTATTAAGAAGTGTGTTAAGGGCTGAAGAGATGGCTCAGAGGTTAAGAGCACCGACTGCTCTTCCAGAGGTCCTGAGTTCAATTCCCAGCAACCACATGGTGGCTCACAACCATCTGTAATGAGATCTGGCGCCCTCTTCTGTATACATAATAAATAAATAAATCTTAAAAAAAAAAAAAAAAAGAAGTGTGTTAAGGGTTATGGATATAGTTAGTTGGTGGTAAAGGACTTGCCTCACGTATAAAACCTCGTGTTCAATTCCTACCCAAAAAAATGATGTGTGCTAATATTCTTCTACTATGCATTTTACACTATGATAAACTGTTCTAAATGATATAGGGACTAATCTAAAGAGACCAGCACACAGACTCTGAGTTTCTGACCTGACAGTACTATCTATCTTCCTTTTTTTGACATGCTCTCTAACAGGCATGGAGCTCACCAAGCAGGTTAAGCTGGCTGGCCAGTGAGCCCATGGAATCTGTCTATCTCTACCTACCCAAAGCTGACATTAAAAGCATGTGCCACCACATTTAGTTTTTTGGTTTTGGGGTGTTTTTTTTTTTCTGTTTTTTTTGTCCATGTGTATCTGTCACATGTGTGGGTGTGCTGTAAGAGGACAGAGTGTGTTCGATTCCCTTTGAGCTACAGGTGGTTGAGAGATGCCCAACAAGGATGCTGAGAATTGAACTGGGGTCCTCTAGTAGAACAGCAAGTGCCTTTAACCACTGAGCCATCTTTCTGTCCCCACCCAGCTTTTTTCTTTTGTAATGTAGATTCTGGAGTTACGGAACTCAGGCCTTCATGCTCACAAGGTAAGCACTTTGTTGACTGAGCCATCCCTCTCAGCCCTTAGCGTCTGACTTTAAGAACTTCACACATTTGGGGCTAGGGAGATGGCTCACTGGGTAACAACAGCAGCACTTACCTTACAAGCACGAGGACCTGAGTTTGAATCCTCAGCACTCCTGTAAAGCTAGGCATGGCTACACAAACCTGTACCTCTAGCATCGAGATGAGGAGACAGGCAGACCCCAAAAGCTCACTGGCCACCCAGCGTAGCCATAAAGGCAAGCTGACAGTTCTATGACAGACCCTGTCTCAAAGCAATAAGAAAGAAAGTGATAAAGGAAGACACCCAACATCTTGCTCCCATCTCTGCATACATGCTCATGGGAACACGTACCCACAGACCCATGTTCTTACACACCCACACACAAATCTTCTCTGCTTTCCAGGCTTCAAACACAAAAGAAATTAACATTCAATGTAAAGTTATTCTGATTTAACGTAATTTTTCCCCCATAAAGTAGTTATTGCTAATTTACTAGTCCTGTTTTTGACACAGCCTCACTCTGTAGCTCAGGCTGACCTTGAACTCATGGCAGTCTTCCTGTTCAGCCTCTCAAGTGCTGACATACCAGGTATGAGGCACCATGACTAACCACTAACTTCACTGAACTGTTAAGACAAGTAACTCTGTTTCCATCTCCCTCATGACAATGGATCTCCTTTCTCATCTGCAAGAGTCTCTTAGTTGAGCCTATGCTTACATATGAACTTATGTTTATATATCCACAGAATACTTACCCGAGTAAGAATGAGACTTTTGGAAACTTTGGAAGAATGAAGTAAACCCAACGTAGTCTTCAATTTTTCAAAGAGATCCCTCATTTCACCACGTCGCCGCCGCTCATTGGCAGTATGTGTCCGGCGGTAATATGCAAAGGCTTCTGTTTCTTTCTGTGGTTTATCACTCCAGCAATCATCTTTCAGTTTTGGAGAAATTAATGGAAGCTGTCCAAAAAGATTGTTTCCTCAGCATCTTTCACATGTATTTGCCCTCTTCCTCCATCCCAAATGATACTGTTCTATCTCAGATACACTTTCTTTCTGGATTGTTATAATGGCCTCTCAACTGCTCATCTTACCAATCTATCTTTCCTCCAAATCTCATTTCAACATCAATAGTATGAATTCTAATATATATTAACACAATCATATTACTTCCCAGCTCAAGTTTTGGTGATTCTCAAATGAGGAGGAAGCATCTGAAGGCTAGGAAGGAAAGGTTTAGAAAAGCTTATTTATATAATTTATCATCATTAAAATTAGTTTTCAGAACATAACAAAGAAAATCACAATCTTGATTGATAGAAAAGAAATTATGTATCTTTTTTCCCCCCTGAGATAGGGTCTCTCTGTGTAATAGCCTTGGCTGTCTTGGAACTCACTTTGTAGACCAGGGTATCTCAAACTCACAGACATGAGCCTGCCTCTGTCTCCCAAGTGCTGGGATAGATAAAAGGCATGCACCACCACTGCCCAGCAAAAATAAAAAAACAAAAAACTTTAGGGAGATTAAAGAAATGGCTCAGTGGGCACAGCGCTTCCTATGTAAGCATGAGGACCCAAGCTGAGATCTTCAGCATCAATATAAAAACTGGGCAAGAGAGTGTGCCTTTGTAGCCCCAGCATTGGACAAGTGGAGACAGGCAGATTGGGGGGGGGGGGGGAGGACTTAAAAGTCAGTCAGCCAGCCTAGCTCCAACAGTGAATTCCAGGTTTAATGAGAGAGAGACTTTATCTCAAAAAATAAGGTGGAGACACAGAAGATGATATCCACGTCTGGCCTCCACGTCTGGCCTCCACACGTGGCAAGCACAAACCTCCTCCACCCCCACCCCCATACACAAAAGGACTTTCATAATTTGGGAAGGATCAATTGCCACTCTTTCTCTCTCCCACCCCCACCCCACCCACCCCCACGATAGGGTTTCTCTGTGTAGCCCTGGCTATCCTGGATCTCGCTCTGTAGACCAGGCTGACCTTTAACTCACAAAGATCAGCCTGCCTCTGCCTCCTGAGTGCTGAGATTAAAGGTGTGCACCACCACTGCCTGGCTGCTGCCATTCTCTTCTAAATAAACTTTCTCTCTAGTACTTTCTTTAAAAAAGAAAACAAAATTACACTTATTTGTGGTAGTGAGGGCAAGCATATGACATATTGCACATGTGGAAATCAGAAGACAACTTTCAGGAGTCAGTTCTTTCCTTCCAACACGTAGATCCTATGGCTAAACTCAGGTCATCAGGCTTGGGGCTGAGCCATCTCACCAGCTCCTTTAGCCATTTCTAACTGTGAGACTTCCTTGACTAAACTGCTTAGGCTTTGGTCTGACTTGGACTCCTTATCCATGTCCCTCCCAATCAATGCTACCACTGTGTATTTTTTCAGAGAGGTCTTTCTTGACTCTCAGCATACCTTAAAGTCTCATTTATCTTATTTATTTTACTTCAATTTTAAATTTACTCATTAATTTATTTATCTATTTATTTTTTGGTTTTTCGAGACAGGGTTTCTCTGTGTAGCTCTGGCTGTCCTGGAACTCGCTCTGTAGACCAGGCTGACCTTGAAGTCAGAAATCCGCTTGCCTTTGCCTCCTGAGTACTGGAATTAGAGGCATGCACCACCACTGCCTGGCTTAAACTTATTTTTTTTTTAAAGATTTATTTTTTAATTATGCACACACATGTGTGTGTCTTTGTGTGGGCTTATGAACCTGAGTACAGGTGCCAGCAGAGGACAGAATCATCAGATCCCCACTGAGCTCAAGTTACAACTGGTTGTAAGCCTGACAAGGGTGCTGGGACCCCAACTTGGGTCCTCTGGAAAACCAGTACATGCTATTAACCGCTGAGCCAACTCTCCAGCCCTAAAATGTATTTTTTAAAAAAGAAGTTACTGACAATATATAGAGTTGTAAACATATGCCAAGCTTATAATAAATTGGAAATATGTCCTTCACCTCTAGCAGGAATGACAATGTGTTACATGTTTATGTGGCTTCTTTCAATTCTTAAGTAATAATATAAGCTGATTTTTGCTGTTGCCAATGATCTCAAATGATTTCTTCCTATGCATAAAAGGATTTTGTTCATATTACTCTTGTGTATCTCAGCACTCTATCTAAATACATTTTCTAACTCTAGCTTTTCTACTGATCCTTGAGCAACATGAATATAAATTTGCTTTATAAAATGATTATCAATGTCTGTTTCTTGCTATTCTTCCTTTTTGCATATTTTTTAAGAATTGATATTAAACCAGGCATGGTGGCACACTCCTTTAATCCCAGCACTCAGGAGGCGGAGGAGGCAGATCTCTATGAGTTCGAGGCCAGGGTCTACAAAGTAAGTTCCAGGACAGCTAGAGATACACAGAGAAGCCCTGCCTGGGGCGGAAGAAGATGGATTTTGATATTAAATCTTACATATTTTACTCTTGGGCTATAAATGTCTTAATTTTTAAAAATTATTATTAAATTATTTTACTTTATATGTATGGGTATTTTGCTTTCAGATAAACAGATCTACTTTCATAAACTATATCCATTTTTTTTATTTAACATCCTCCAAATTTATTCTATCCTCTGAGAGGAGTAGAATTAAGAAAGGAGAGGAGCAGGTAGTATAATTCTGCAAAGATGGGAAAGTTAATTTTAATAAATTAAAATAGTCCTAAAAAAAAAAAAATCAACTAATAGATCTTATGTTTCAATCATAAAACAAATGTTACTGATTTTATTAAAAAATTAGCCGGGCGGTGGTGGCGCACGCCTTTAATCCCAGCACTCAGGAGGCAAAGCCAGGCGGATCTCTGTGAGTTCGAGGCCAGCCTGGGCTACCAAGTGAGTTCCAGGAAAGGCGCAAAGCTATACAGAGAAACCCTGTCTCGAAAAACAAAAAAACAAAAAAACAAAAAAAAAAAAAAAAAATTATATTAAATACATTTGAAATACCTTTCGAATCTTTTCAGCAGCTTTTTCATCTGCAGAGATTTGGCTATGACACCTAGATAAAGAAAGTAATTTTAATGTTTTACTGAAATCCAATACATCAATCTCTTTCACACCTGTTATGAAACTATATCACTTCAAATTTCCTAAATTACAACCATTTCTTTTCTCCTAGGTATACTAGATGGCAACAATTTATTCAACAGTTCATTTTATCTCTAGCGTCCAAATAGTCACTAAAATTATGAATTACTGTTTTTCATCCACTTATTGGTTTGTTTGTTTATTTATTGGCAGGATCTCATTGTCAACTCCTGACTGTTCTGAACTTGCTATGTGGATCAAGCTGGCCTCAAACTCAGAGAGATCTGTTTCTGTCTTTAAATTTAATTTCTGTTCTTTTATAGTTTGTGTTCTTTATATAGTGGTTATTCTTGGCTCTTTATTATCCCAACCTAATAACATGGCATAGCTACTTACTGAATTCTTCAATGTCTCTCAATATAATTTTCTTCAAGCCTTACATAGCTTGTTACTATATTATAGAAATACATACATGGTTGCAATCATTTCAAAAATATCACTATGTAGCCCTGCTGGCCTGGAACTAGCAATGATCCTCTTTCTAGTACTGGGATTACAGGTATGAGCCACCAGGGCAGCCCAAACCCATTTTGAGATGTAAGAATTTTCATGCACATCAAAATTCACTTCATGAATCACAGTGTAAGAATAGTATATGCGCCGGGCGGTGGTGGCGCACGCCTTTAATCCCAGCACTCGGGAGGCAGAGCCAGGCGGATCTCTGTGAGTTCGAGGCCAGCCTGGTCTCCAAAGCGAGTTCCAGGAAAGGCGCAAAGCTACACAGAGAAACCCTGTCTCGAAAAAACCAAAAAAAAAAAAAAAAAAAAAAAAAAAGAATAGTATATGCACTGTCAGTGGTTTCTTTTTAAATATTTATAGCCTATGGGGCTATATTAATCACAGAAAGCTTTTATTCCTGTCACTATTGAAAATGGTTAAAAAATTAGTTATTTTTAAGATTATATTATTCTTTTTCATTTTTAGTAATGTGTTTAAAATGCAGACCTTTCCTATCTAGGTGTCTGAAATACTATTGAACTCAGTAAATATAATTAAGTTTTAAGGGATTTAAACTCTTTCACCTTAATCAACAGGTAACTGAAGGAACCTGTAAACAGCTCTGGAATGAAGACAGTCACTTAGGAGACTGTCTTAGGAAACAAGACAAGAGAAGCTGCATCTTCCTTCCTGTCTCTCTTACATGCCAATCCCTAATCCCTACAGAGCTTCCTAACACAGGAATCGATAACACACCACAGCAAGATCCTGTGCCTTTTATCAGTGGAATAGGTAGGAAGAATTTCATACCTGTATCTCACTTGTTCAGCTAGTACAGTAACTAAATTTGTAATTTTAATGCTTTATTAGTAAAATATAAAAGAACTAACGTTTGCTGAGTAATCAACTCATACTAGCATTATGAAAAATGTGCATGCTATTTCATCTTATACTCTAAATGGAGGGCATATTGGTTCAAAGAAATTATAAACTTGTCCAGGTTAGATACCTATATACTATCAAAACTAGTATTTCATTTTTTTTACTTATTATTTTAAACAGGGTCTCACTGTATAGCTCTGGTTGATCTAGAACTCTCTATACAGACCAGTCTAGCCTCAAACTCAAGAGATTGCCTGTCTCTACCTCTGTCTCCCAGGTACTACAGTCAAAACTAGTATTTTAACACAAGTGTACCAGTCCCTAAAAGTATGTTACCCACATTTATATGCTACCTGCTGGCAAAGGCCAAAACAAGTAAATGACTTCCTTATTTCAACATCTCATCTAAACTACCCAGGAGAAAAGAGAAACAAAAACCAAACCAACAAACTCTAAGGGAATAATGGAAGTGGGTCTGTTGCCTGAGGTTTTAAATGAAGTGTTCAGTTTTGTTTCTGGTTCAGTTTTGTTTCTGGTTCCAAACAATAATCCAAAGGTAAATATGACTTACGGCTGTTTGAAGGACTGTGTGTGAGTTACTGTGGTCTTCTTGTAGGCAACGTTAATTTCCTCTGAGAGCTCTTCTATAGTCTCAACATCCACCTGCTCATCATCCTCAATATAGTCTACATAGTTATTCTGAAATATATTATTAGAACAGTAAATAATGTATTGGGAGACACACATACCTAAACTTTTCAAATGCATTCTCCCTTATTAAACCAACTAGTTCCAAATAGTTATCTACCATGAGTACTAACAACCCTAAGCTTGTTAATCACAAAAAGAAATGAAGTAAAAAAGATAACACGATTAGAGCTAACATCAACAACTACGTTAAGTAACAGATGTATGTTAAACAGGTTTCATTAACCTTTGGATGGGCAGAGTTTCTAGGAGGCTATATTTGATGCTTTGATATTATTTCTAGAGGATAGCATTCATGTATGATGCATTAAGGCTTTAAATAATTTTTTTTTGCTTTTTGAGAAGGGGTTTCTCTGTGTAGTTTTGGTGCCTGTCCTGGATCTCGCTTGCTCTGTAGACCAGGCTGGCCTTGCACTCACAGAGAGCTGCCTGGTTCTGTCTCCTGAGTGCTGGATTAAAGCTGTGCGCCACCACTACCCAGCTAAATAAAATCTTAAGATCATACATGGTGAGGCCCTGGGTTTAATACCTAACACTAACCCCTCATCCCCCAAACCCACAGAATATCCTGTTTTAAGGGAGCTTCATAACTAATATCTGATCAAATGCCCATAAATCAACACACATTAATGTAAGGCAGACATGGAAATGGGATACAACTCCACAGAATAAGAGCTTTTGAAGAACTTCAGTTTTCAAAAGTAATCCCAAGTGTAGTTTCTTCTATTTCCAGAACAGAGGCAACTGAATAAAATTGAGCACCTATCACAGAAATTCACTGAATTCTTTTACAGAGTTATATGTATGATGTGAGGCAGGCAGATATTTTCAAGTCCATCTTTAAAAGTAGTGCTCACTATGCCAGAAACTAAAAAAGTGCTATCTTTATATATATTTGCACTACACTTCAGAGGCATAATTCAAAACAAGGTATCCCAATCACCTTATTAAAATTCTCACATTTATAATTTTGGAAAAATCACCTCCAAATTAAAGACTCCATAAGGCTAATAGACACTAAACGCAAGCTATCATTATAGTGCCCACTTCAACTTAAGCATAATTTAAGAAATATATGTTAAATTTAGACAACGTATAATTACCCCTATGGAACAAAAATGAACAGAATCTAAAGTTACTAATATAGGTTTGATTTATAGTACTTGAACTGAAGAGTGTGTGCCTAGTTCATAGATTTATGACACAGGGTGTGCCATGTAGTCCAGGAGAGTCTCAAACCGGCAATCCTCCTGCCTCTACTTCTCCTCACTGACAGGATCATAGGCCTGCACCTCACACTCATCTATCTCATGATTTTAACTGCAGGCTTTGCAAATAATATCCAATAATCTCAATAGAAAACAAAGTAGTTATTTCCTCATACCATTCAAATACAAGTCTAGTACTAAGTGTAAAGAAAATCTGGACATGGTACATGCATGTAAATATGATACAGAGTTTATATTTTAGAGATCATTCACAGTGGTTGTTGTTTGTTTTAAGAAGTCAGTGTAAACTTTTCTGTTAGATTATTAGTACATTCAAGTAAGAGCCCCTGTAAGATTATGGCATTCTAGAGGCTCTGCAAAGTCAGTTCTACTGACAGCTACAGTTTTACTTATTAGACTGTTTCGTTTTTGTTTGTTCATGTAATGTTTACCCAGAATGACTAAAAAAGGAGACTATAAAAGTACAGTAAGATCTATAAAAGAATCTTGCAAACCCCATATTCTTGGATTTATGTCCTTGAAAAGGATTAGCCTACAGGAAAAGTATAAGGCAAATGCATACATAAATTATCCAATTTTAGAGCTGTATCCTTATTTATAAGTTAAACAATTAAAGTACCAGATACTTTGCAGTTTTTTTCTTGAAAAAAATTTCCCTCTAAATGTAGGTAAGCTCCTTCTTCTCCATATCTAAGGTTCCCCCGTTCACTGTTTCTTATTTTATCTGTACAAGGTAAGTGTCAACCACATCACAGACATGTGACAGAAACTACAGGGATTTAAAAGATGTAAGATATCTTTTAAAATTCAACTTGGTAGGCACTCTATACCATCTATACTCCAAAGGATCAAGCCACCTTTATAACAGTAACATGCAAGACAGTGTTGCCTTAAACACTACTCATTTAATAATGATCTAAACTTAAGCACCCAAACTAATATATTAGGTAATAGTGATAGTCTAGGAAAAGCTACTATCTCTAATCGTTTAAATCCATGAGGTTTCAGTCACAACAAAAATGGGCTCACCACCTTTTCTACATCAACCTCCTCACTCTGGTAGCCAGAAACAACATCCACAATCTCATCAACAGAATCATCGGTTTTCTCATTCTCGTCTTCCTCGTCCTCCTCTTCCAAATCCAAAGCAGTCAAGTCAGCACTGCTTCTCCCACCCTTCATCTCTTGCTTTGGTTTTATCTGTTCTCTTGGGAGCAGAAAATGATCCTGAAAACGTCTGCTCCCTCTTCTTCCTTTTGTAGCTCTCCTAGGAATAATAGAGAAGGCTGCAGAACTAGAAATGCTACTCCAAGAACTATCCTCAGTTTTTAACACTCCATCATTCTCAGTAGTTCCACTTTTTCCAAGTAAGTCAGAGATGTCTTGTTCAGAATTTTCTTGACATGGCTTTGTTTCTGTAAAGAACTGCATGTCTGCCTCTTTTTTATATTCTTGTGAAATTCCAATGTACTTCTGAGTTAAGGGGCCCTTCAAACGTTTTCTCCATCTCTCTCCAAGACTGTCCTTCCCCAGAGAGTCTTCACAATCCTTCTTGGCCTCTGCCTGTGAATTAAATTGCTGTTCCTCAACTTGGCTCCCTGTTAGTTCAAAGTTACTTTCTTCCTTAGGGATGAATAGAAACTCATCTGGGTCCTCTGGATTGTCTGATCCTTGTTGCTGTTCCATCTTCACCTCAGCACATTTTTGAGGCCGTACTTTACTGACACGCTGGACCTTTTCAGAAATATTCCTAACCTTTGGAACAGTCTGTTTTTCCTTTGGACTGCTCTGATTCCTGTTCCCAGATTCTTCATCACCATCTCTGTCTTCATCTGTGTGAGACCCAGTGCTAAAAGAGCGTTCATAAGGTCTGGCATCTTCTGTAAGGGTTTCTTCATCCAAAAGATCACCCCCATCATCCAATGAATCATTCAAGGTATCTTCTGAGGCAATAATTCCTGAGTTTTGCTTGATTCTATCAGCCTTGGTGTCTACAGCTTCTTCATTTGATGTTAGAGCTTTCTTAGTTTCCTCCTCTCTTTTGATGGAGTTTATTTCATCTTTCTGGTCTGCATTCTGACATTCCTTTTTTACCTGAAGGGAAGCAACCTGCTGAAGAATGGAGCTAGGAACAGGCTTTTGTCCTGGGAGCTGCAACAAGGCAAAGCTACCTGACTGCAGAGGAATGAGACTAGCAGTTCCGACAGGCTGCCCTCCAGTGCTGGGTGTTATTTTGCTGTCAGAGGCTGTTTTACTTGCAAAGTTTTGAGGTTCAGGAGGAGAAATCCTCAGTGTCAGTGTACCAGCCTGAGAGACAAAACTAGATCCACCGGAAACCAATGAAGGTGCCTGAGTAATGACATTTACTGTCGGAGAAGACCCAACAGCCTGAATTACAGGACTCATGACAGAGAAGGCAGAGGACGAAGTAGAAGATGATGAAGTCTCAGAAGATTTGGAAGGAGCTGGTAGTCGGATTCCCACCACAGATCCTGGTAAGAAAAAGAAAGAACTTAAATCACCACTGCTCATCTCATCAAGTCTTTCAAGGTATGATTCCCACTTAAGAAACTGAGTAAGAAAAATTCTAGTATACCAAACACATCACATGGTCAAGTGATTCAAAACAAAACCCATCAGAAAGACCTCTAATTTAATACCTGGGTTCCGAAACACCACAGGCTGTAAGCTGGGTTGGGTATTAGAGCCTCGAATCTGATGTAAAGGTAGGAGTTGGACAATCTGCCCATTGGGGTGCCTGAACAAGTTCATTCCACTTGGACTCCTAACAGGCTGTAAGACCATCCGCTGTCCCTGAAGTTGTGGGTTTGGGACTGGTCTAAGTGTAGGAGAACCCTGCTGCACTGGAATCAACAACAATCGAGGTCCAGTACGTTTCACATTGTTAGGAGAGATCTGTGGAGTAGTCACTGGAATTTGAGGGGTATTTTCTGAAAAACAGAAAAATGAGAAGCTACTATCAGAATTTATCTTTCAGAATACATCGGTAAAAATATTGATGATGTTAGATCTAAAAATACTGCAAGTAATGTCTAACTTGAATCATAAAGTTAATGAAATTCTGTCCCTCTATAGTATACTAATAATAGTTAAGAATATAATTTTTTTTTTTTAAATTTTGAGACAGGGTCTCTCTATGTAGTCCTGACTGTCCTGGAACTTGCTAAGGAGAATAGGTTGGCCTCAAGCTCAAAGGACATGCCTCTCTCTGCCCTGAGAGCCAATTTAAGGTGTGCACCGCCACACCTGAATCTTCATTATTATTATCATTTTAGAAATCATATTTCCCATGCCGAGGCGGTGGCACACGCCTTTAATCCCAGCACTCCCAGCTGTGAGGCAGAGCCAGGCGGATCTCTGTGAGGTCGAGGCCAGCCTGATCTACAAAGCGAGATGCAGGACAGGTACCAAAACTACAGAGAAACCCTGTCTCAAAACACCAAAAGAAATCACATTTCCCAGTGATGATGCACACCTTTAGTCCTGGCACTTGGGAGGCAGAGGTAGGTGGATCTCTGTGAGTTCAAGGCCAGACTGGTCTACAGAGCGAGTTCCAGGACAGCCAGGGGTACAGAGAAACCCTGTCAAAAAAACAAAAACAAGACATTCCAAGCCATTAACAGTATCAATAAGATTTAATGTTTAGAAAAGCTGTTCAGAAATACAAGCTGAGAAAAGATAATATTTTAGAGTTCTGGGGTAAAGAAATGGGTATTATGCTAATAAGTACAAACAAAACTGATCTAATATTAGTTCAAATTAGTACACTTATCTGGCATGGCTGATATCTATCTCAAGTTTGCTATTTTATTGTCTGTGGAAATAATACTATGCAATTTGAACAAAAACATGCACCTGAGAGCTAGAGAGATTGCTCAGAGATTGTTGCTCTAGCAGAAGAAGTTCAGTCCCTGGCAAACATGTTGGGAAGACCACAAACTGCCTGTAACTCCAACTCCAAGGAATCAAAAGTCTCTCCTAGCTTCTAATGATACAAGCATAAAGGTACACACATATCTTTTTTAAACATGCACGTAGATGGCTCATGTTAAGAGCACTGGTTGCTCTCCTAGAGAACCCAGGTTCTCACAACTATCTCTATCTCCAGTCCCAGGGGAATCCAACATCCTCTTCTGGACTCCATGGGCATTGCATGCATGTGGTGCAAACACACACAGGCAAAACATCCATACACACAAAATAATTTTTTAAAATGCACCTAGTTGAGCATGGTAACACGCATATTTGATTCCACCACTTGGGAGGCTAAGTTCCAGACCTGCCAGGGATACACAGTAAGACCCTGTTCTACAGGGGGTGCCGGGTGGGGTGTGTGGTAATATTCTGATCCTGCCCTTTGGTGCCTGCCCCCTATGCCCTGATGTAAAAGCCTATTCTTAAGGGAAAACGCTGCCCCTTCCTTCTCTCTCCTGCTTTCCCATGAGGTATACACCTCTCGAACCCCTTGCCCTTCTCACTCTCTATCTCTCTCTTCCCCCCGCCAAATAAAACTCTTCACTGAGTGCTGTCTGCATGGCATCTCTCTCACTCACCCGCCCTGGGGGACCTTGGCTCTAACCGCGAGCACGTGTAATTCATAACAGGGAGCATCTATTTGATCTAAGAAACACACTAACACATTAACTTTTCAAGTTTCAGTTCAAAGCCTAATTTACTCCATTCGGACTAAGAAAGAATCTTTACTATCTCCTCTGAGTATGTGATTATTCACTTAAATGTGCCCAAAAAGGGGGGGGGGGGCAGGGGGGCAAATGAAAAGTCAGCCACAAAGTGTCTAAGGTGAGATTCCTTTTATGAGCTGAGAATAAACCCATGGCACTTCCTTAGAACTAGCAGTTATCCAAGTTAGCTCTATTAATAAAAATAAAATGTCTTAATTTTACATTTCAGGTAGTACGTGGATACAAAATAATGTTATTTTATGAAAAAATAATTTCCATTTAAGTTTTAAACCTTTGATTACATAAAGAAAAAAGTACCTATCTTTCTTCTGCAGTGTTGAGATTTGAACTCAGAGCCACACACACGCTAGGAAAATAATGTATTGCTGACCTCTAAGTGCAGGGCATTTTTTTCTTTTTGTGTGAAACAGAATCACATTTTTAGCTAGTTGCATTTACTATAAAAAATTAGGGGCTGGAGAGATAGCTTAGCACTTGTTGCTCTTGCAGAGGACCTGGGTTCAGAGGATCCCACCCTCTTTTGGCTTCTGTGAGCACTGCATGCATATGGTCCACTGACATACAAGGATATATAAAAGAAACATACAAATAAAAATAAAAATTTGGCCGGGCGGTGGTGGCGCACGCCTTTAATCCCAGCACTCGGGAGGCAGAGCCAGGCGGATCTCTGTGAGTTCGAGGCCAGTCTGGGCTACCAAGTGAGTTCCAGGAGAGGCGCAAAGCTACACAGAGAAACCCTGTCTCGAAAAACCAAAAAAAAATAAAAAATAAAAATTTATTTAAAAATTATCAAAATAGATAAGTATACCATTTTAAACTCATTTAACCTAAGCCAATTTAAATTTGGGGCTGGTGAGATGGCTCAATGGTTAAGAACACTGGCTTTGCTTCCAAAGGACCCAGGTTCAGTTCTTAGCACCTACAAGGTGGTTCACAACAGTCTATAACTCCAATTCCCAGGGATCCACTATCTTCTTCTGGCACCTGTGGGCACTGCAAGCACATGGCAGACTTGCGTACATGCAAACATTCACATAAATTAAAACCTATTTTTACTTTTTATTTTATTTTATTTTTGTTTTTGTTTTTCGAGACAGGGTTTCTCTGTGTAGCTTTGCACCTCTCCTGGAACTCACTTGGTAGCCCAGGCTGGCCTCGAACTCACAGAGATCCGCCTGGCTCTGCCTCCCGAGTGCTGGGATTAAAGGCGTGCGCCACCACCGCCCAGCAAAACCTATTTTTAAAAATGAGAAAAAACTAAAAGGTTGACAAACATAAAATATAAGTACTAAACATAAAAAAGTTCCTCCTTTTTATTGGTCATGTCTGTGTCAGTTCACCTGGACTGTCAACTTGATGGGATTTAGAATCACCCGGGAGAATAGCCCCTGGGCACATCTGTGAGGGTGTTCCTATAGAGGTTTAACCAAGAAGGGAAAACCCATCATGAATGTGGATGTCACCATTCCATGGGGTCAAGTCCTGGATAGTATGAAAGTAGAAAGTTCCTGGCTGCAGACACAAGTGACACACTATTTCATATTCCTGTTGCCATGGGCTTCCTGAGACTATACCCTTAAAACCATGAGTCCAAATAAACCCTTCTTCAGTTACTTGCTTTTTGGTCAGGTTATTTTGTCAACAAAGTATAACAATGAAAGCTGGGAATGAATATGAGACTTTGTCTTAAGGAAGGAAGGAAGGAAGGAAGGAAGACAGACAGGCAGGCAGGCAGGCAGGCCAGCCTCTGTGAAGAAGACTGCATGTATGTAGTCCATAGACATACATGCAGGCAAAACACTATACATATAAAATAAGAATTTATAAAAAAATTATCAAAATAAAGCCAGGCGGTAGTGGCACACGCCTTTAATCCCAGCACTTGGGAGGCAGAGGCAGGTGGATCTCAGTGAGTTCAAGTCCAGCCTGGTCTACAAAGTGAGATCCAGGACAGCCAGGACTGTTTCACTGAGAAACCCTGTCTTGGGGGAAAAAAAAATTATCAAAATAAGTAAGTATACTATTTTAGAAAATGTCACTGCTGTACATTTTCTTAGAAATGCTATGACTTTTTTTCAGGTAGATAGGGAGGGAAGGATGGGAGGGAGGGAGGGAGGGAGGGAGAAGAAAAGAGTAATGTCCACTCCAGCAGCTGTACAAGAAATTCCCTCCTTAAAGAGGTACAACCCTAGCTTTCACCATACAGCATGTTGTATTTCCTCCCATGTCATTTTAATGGCTGTTCTAATGGCTCAGAGCTCTGGTCCTATTTACATATCTAATGTCCTTCAGCAATCATTCCCACTCTAATGTTTTTGAGTTTTTAGTACTTCCTGGGGTAAATTCTAGTCCTATCAACCTATCAGTCAGATTATCTCTAAAAGATAGTTGATTCTTATAATTAGAAATCTGACTACACAATTGTACAGATAGTCAGTGGTCATTCCTAATCCTACAACCAGCCCTAAGCTCTGTTATTAAAAATAAAAACTCTACCCTAACAGGGTTCAGTTTTACAGAATTCTAAGGTTTTAAGAATGTTAAAATAGGCCGGGCGGTGGTGGCACATGCCTTTAATCCCAGCACTCAGGAGGCAGAGGCAGGTGGATCTCTGTGAGTTCGAGAGCCGCCTGGGATACAGAGTGAGTTCCAGGAAAGGAGCAAAGCTACACAGAGAAACCCTGTCTCGAAAAACCAAAAAAAAAAAAAAAAAAAAAAAAAAGTTAAAATATCATACTACGGCTGAAACATATACAAGGGTACTCTAAAATGCATTCAGGCATGTCTAAACTGTGGCCTGCATGCATCTCAAGATAGATATGAATGCAACCCATCACATTTATAGATGACAGTGTCAAAACTGGAAACTCCTCATTTTATTACAACTGGAAAATTCTATTAAGTAGCTTTATAATGAAGCAGATGAAGCCAGGTGGTGATGGCACATGCCTTTAATCCCAGCACTTGGGAGCAAGGCAGGCTGATCTCTGATTTCAAGGCCAGCCTAGACCACAGAGCAAATTCCAGGACAACCAGGGCTACACAGACAAACCCTGTTTAGAAAAACCAAACGTATAGTAGATGATAAATAGATAGATATAGATATTTAGATAGAGAGATAAAAATAAAGCAGATGAAAACAACTAGTCCTTACCTGGTCTCTGGCTCACTGGTGGGCTTCCATTAATTCCTGAGAGTATAATAGGTACAGAACTCAGCGATGAAGTTGGTGTGGTCACCATGGAGGGAGATGCAGCTGTGGTAACCATGGCTACGGAGGTGGAGGCAGTGGAAGCAACAGGAAGAGTTACGGTTGGAGATGCTACCAACGACTTAGGAAATGCAACCGAAGCCACAGGACTAGTAGTTATCCCAGTAGTTTTGATAAGGTTCACAGTGGCTGTAGACTGGGCAGACGTTACAGGGGTAGTGTTATTAGTTTCAGAGATCTCAACAACCCCAGCAGCAGAGGCACCAGAAGAACAAGTAGCTTCTTTAGCTCCCACATCAGAAACAGCAGTCACAGATGTCACAGCAGTAACATTTTCTAAAAACACTTGAGGGGAAGTAGTGACAGCAGCCGTCACAGTGCTGCACACCTGAACTGGCTCAGAAGAAACCACAGGTGTGACGACCATTACTGGAGAAGGCCTGATACTGAACTTCTGTGGCCCTGTCAGGGGTTGAGGTGTGCGAACTCCAGGTATCTTCTGCTGCAGGGCTCCAACTTTGCTCATCACAAACTGTGTGAACACACCACCAGGAGAGGGCCGAGCCGCTGCAAATAAAAATTTGCAGGTCAAAAAATGTTCAGTTTTCTTACTGTGCCCTCCTACTAAGTGACTGTGCTTATATTAATATTAGTTATGCCCATTGGGTCAATCACATGAGCCAATTTCTACCCACAAAAATCAAACACTATCCTCAACCCAAAGCAAAGCTTTAAAATTCTAAAAAAAAAGATTAAAACTTGAGTGTTGTGACTAAATTTCTTCAACCTACACAATATATCTAAATTCTTAGGGCACTAAAAAAATAAATAAATAAAATAAGAGGGAGATGGGTGAAGTAGTACATGTATTTAATCCCAGTACCAAGGAAGCAGAGGCAAGCGGATCTCTGTGACTTTGAGGCCAGGCTGATCTACAATAGTGAGTTCCAGGACAGCCAGGGCTACATAGAGACCCTGTCTCAAAAAGCCACAAATTAAAAACAAAGTGCAGTCACTAACCTTATCACAAAAACAGATGAAAAGGGAAGGACAAGATCCCCAAAACATACCCTTACGTCCCCATTCACACCTTCAAGCCTCTTTCTACAATTTCCTCCTGCTTCAGCAGCAACAGCTCTATGGCTGTCCTTTTATGAGATAGTTAAGTACTACATATTTCTAAAATCTAAACACATTTTTCAAAAAATGAGAGTAGTACTGTCTTTTACTGCTGTTTTAAACTCTAATTAAAGCTGCATTATAGAGAGGCAAAATGGGTTCTTTTTAAAGCATTAGCTCCCCATCCTCAAGCTTCACGCCAGCCTTCAGCCAGATATCTCAATTTCCTGTTAGAGGAATAAAAATGAAGACTTTGCTTAACATTCCTAAAGATAACTGAAACAGCAAAAAAGAGGAATTTTATAAACCAACTGCAGAACTTTAAACTAAAACAAATGTTTCAAGAAGGCAATTTAGTACAGACCATAGCACTAAAATGTTAGGCAAAAGAAGTTTCCATACACAAGTCAGGAATATAGAGGAACACTACATTACTTGAAAATTATGATTGACAAGAGCCTTCTATTTTTTGCCTGTACTAACTCGTCCTACCAGCTTTTGCTAGCTTCTTAGGACTTGTCAGTACAAGGAATATGCATATGGTTGGTATTAAAACACATCAACCCTCATACTCATAGGAAAAAGAAATAGTATTTTAAAGTAAAGCCTTAAGTCTTTTCTACATTAATATACAGTCTCAAAGTCTTTAACTGTAAAACTAGAGTTCAATTCATCAAGTATCATAAACCATGAGAATTATTCTAAAAATATTTAAGCAAGGACATTAGTAACAATGCCAAATTCTGTATTTCTCTACTTTTATAACTTTCATAATCACTGGCAAACACTAAATTACAGGCTTTTCCAAACCACTTACCAATTGGCCTTTTTGCTGGAACAAATGCCTTCTGATTCTTCCCAGAGCGATTTGTTGCTGGGCCAGAGGATGCCATTTTGGAATTGGATGTTGAAGGCAACAGGGTGCGTGGTTTCCTGGATGCAGCCACCTTGGCATTGGATGCTACCTTGGAGATGACAGTACTGAGGGTTGAGAGGTCCAGGACTGAGGGTCGCAACCTGCCTGTGATATAAGCAGCTAGCCTATTGGCTGGATGCAATGCCCCCATCTGTCCCAATAGCAACTTAGCCTGCGGGTAACTCTTACCATTAACCTGAAACAAGTGGCAAAGAGAAATTCTGTAAAGATAAAATTCTCTTGCTAACTTCTCTCCCTTGACAGGGGTTTCATTTTTATAAGGTGTTTTAAATTCTATGATTCAGATGTAAAAAGGAAAAAGAAGTGAAGCTTTTCTATTCAGGATAATCTGAGTAATTAGATAGTTATCATCTGATACCTGAACTAGGCTCATCTTCATTTATAGTTTAGAAACAGAGAATCTTAGAAACTAAATTAATTTCTACATTATAGGTATGTGAAAGACATAACTGTGTCCACTGATTCATCTAACTGTTTTACTTTAAAAAGTAATTGTGGTTATTAATGAATTAATAAGCAAGAAGCATAACTGTGAACCACAGTATCTCTCTAAGACCAAAGAGGCATAACAAGCTCTCACACAAGGGTCTTTTCAAGTATCCTTCATATCTTACATCTACTTTTGAAGTTATAGGACATTCATTGCTATAATAACCTATTAAGTCACCCTAGTTTTTGTTGTTTTTCCCCCCTTAAGGTTTTATTTATTTTCATTTTATTTGTATGAGTATTTGCCTGTGTACTAGGTACATGCCTGGAGCCCACAGTGGTCAGAAGAGGACATCGGTTCCCCGGGACTGGAGTTACAGACCATTGTGAGTCACCATCTAAATGCTGGGAATTGAACCAGGGTCCTTTGCAAGAGCAGCCAGTGCTTGCAATCGCAAAGTAGTATTCTTTAGGCCCAGTTTTTGGTTTTCAAAGGTGGCAACTCTAAAGATACTGTCTTCATAATGTACACAGAACATGCTCAAAATAGAATGCTGGCATAAACATAATTCTAGATGTAGTCACTAAATGGTCAGAATAAAGTGAACTAACAAATGAAATATATATTTTTTGTGATGCCTGAGTTGATAACTGCCCATTTTAGGCAGCAATGTAGAAGAAAGAGGAGAGGAATCGAGATCAAGCGTGCATGCATTTAAAGAGAATACAAAAGCCTCTCAAGTTCATAATACTAGATGACATCTAGAGAACATACCTTTTCTGTCTCATCATTTAAAAGTAGTAGATAGAAAATGGAATAAGTCATCTACTCTTCAAATTAATAGGGAAACAGTAAAGAAACTATAGCAACCCACTACATAAAACAAAATTACTCTTTGCTACTTAATTATGATTATTCTCAGCAAGATCAGCAATCTCAACTCCTCAAATTTGATATCAAAAAGAAAAGGGATTTTTCTATCCAAAAGGAAACCACACTAGTTTTTTGTCAGGGACAAGGATAGAATCTCTAGTTAGTGGAAAAATATAGACCCCCCCCCATAAGACAGGGAACTAGATCATCTTACAGTCAGGTTGCCTAGCAACAGGACATTGAGGCAGAGCCCTTGACCCTTTCACCCTGTAAACATCCTATACAAACATCCTGATAGCTTGTCCCACCTTATGCAGATGACAGCTTCTTGCTCCCCCCACCCTGCAGAAACTATATAAACCCTCTTGGAGAAAAATAAAGTTGCACCTTGATCAGAATCTAGACTTGGTGTGTTTCCTTGTATCTCCTGTCTCTATCATTCCGTCCTTAGGGTGGTTGAGAACCCGTTGAAGCCCTGCAGGCGGGGCAGTTTTTAGCTATACAGAATCTAGATTACTTATTACTGCCTGGTACTGAAGATTGTTTACTATCTTCCCCAACATCTACACAGGCTGAGCATTCCTTATCCCAAATTTCTGGATAAGAAAGCAGCATTTTAGATTTTCAGTATGCACAATAAGCTATCTTGGAGGCAGTATCCAAGTCAAAGCATAACATTTATTTAGATCATATACAGCTCACATACACATAAGGATGTAATTTTATATTAATAGTAGTGTGCTTACATTCTGACTATGACCCATCACATGAGGTCAGCTGTGGAATTTTCTATTTGTTGATGATCAAAAAACTTTAAAGTTTGGATAATTTCAAATTTCTGATATGGGGAGTAATAGAAACTGACTGATATTCAAGTTATAGAGTGACTTTCTTTTCTTTGGTTTTTTTGAGACAGAGTTTCTCTGTGTAGGCCCAACTGTCCTGGAACTTGCTCTCTAGACCAGGCTGACTTCAAACTCCAAGATCCACTTGCCTCTGCCTCCTGAATGCTGCAATTAAAATTGTATGCCACCACAGCCAGGCTTATACTACCTATCTTAAAGTCATCTTCTTATCTCTACTGTCACTAGCAGTTATATAACTGGTAGTTATATATTTGTTTTGAAATTTTTATATCAATAAGATATTCTAAGACCCAAACTAAATGTCTGACTATTTTTGCTTAGTTATCAAAGGATCATTAGAGCCCAAGTAGTAAAGCTCATGAAGAAACTTTCTGGAAACAATAGAAAGATAACCAAAAGCTAATGTGAGGCTCCATATTTCTGTTTACATACAGCAGTTTACCTTATGTATTTACTTATCACAATAAGGAATAATGATTTTATTATCCAGTTCCCAGAAAACTTGAAGAAATATGATCTAAGGTTAACAAAGGGCTTTGAGTATTTAAAAAAAAAAAAATCAAGATGTTACCTAAGTATAAAAAGGTACTATACCCAGACTAAAGATAATTCTCACCTGGATAAGCCCAGATGTAGTTGAACTGGGTTTACGTTTATAGGCCACAAGCTTCCCTGCAGGAGAAAGCCCTGCATAAAAAGGCAGACCTTTGCCTCCATGTAATCTTTCCCTCACTGAATCCAGGGCATCTGTCTGCACAGGAGAGATATCATCCATTTTCCCAGGGGACAATGGACCATCAGGAGTCTCTGATCCAGATTTCTCAGCCATATCATCCTGGTCTTGACTTGATGGCATAGAGATTTTCACACGAGAAGAATAAACAGGAGGGTTCTTCTCGCCCCGACACTTCCGCTGAGAAGCCAACTCAATGATGAAGCTGCCCACCTTAAGTGACTGCGGCATGTTGCTATTGATGTGTTGAGATAAGATGCTCAAGATCTTATTACGATCTTCTTCCCAGTTGCAGTCTGAGATGATTTCTATCAGTTTGGTAGGACCACCAGGTGACCTCTGATGTACATAAGAGGTAGAAGAGGATTCTCCTTCATTGCAGGGAGATTTCCAGCTCTTTTCTGTTTGAAAAATAAATAGATCCTCTACAGCACGGCCACTCTGTACTGAACTTTGATTTTTATATATTTATTTATTTATTGGGGGAGGGGTGCGAGACAGGTTTTCTGTACGGCACCCTTGGCTGTCCTGGAACTCACTATGTAGACCAGGCTGGCCTCGAACTCAGAGAGATCCGCCTGCCTCTGCCTCCCAAGTGCTGGAATTAAAGGCAGGCTACTGAACTTTGAAAGAAACTCAAGTTTCTCACTGTCCCATTTCCTAATATTTTCAGTGGTAAAGTAGTGTTTAAACTCAACATTCTGGAGTTTTTAAGAAAAAAAAAGATCTCACAAAACTAGATAGTTGTCTTCGCTAAACACAGACTAAATTCACTCATAAAAGGAAATCTAAAAATAATCAGAGCTCAAAAAAAAAAAAAAAAAAAAAAAAAAGCACTGCTCTAAAAGGCTACAAACAAAAAGTTCTACCTTGCAAAATGTGACCTATAACTAAGGTAAAGTTTACTTGATAGAGGTTACTGTTCTGATATCCAAACAGGCCAAACACTGATTACTATAAGCCTGCTTTGAAACAAGTGAAGGTAAGAATCAACACTAAATACTAGAAGGTAGTGTTTTTGTTTATAAAAACACAAAGAAGAGGTTGGTGAAATGGCACTTGTGGCTAAGCCTGCCACCAATTCAATCCCTGGGCTATATAATGGAAAGAGATAAGAATTCACTCCTGCAAGTTGTCCTCTGATATGTGTCATGGCAAGCATGTACCTCCCCAACCCCCTCACACACATAAACAAATGTAATTAAATAAATAAATTTTTTAAGAAAAAAGCCTTTTAGGACACATTCTACCACTAGTTTCTACTACAAACTCTATCTACAATGTCCCTAGATGTGGTTGTTCTATGTCTACACTATATACAAATGACTCAGCTTCCCAATGTATCTCTAACCATGGTGATAGGTTGACAAGATAGAGATTTTTACAAGGCACCAGATTTCTATAATGGAACTTCTCAATCAATGTGCTAGAGTTATGTCAAGGATACAGGCTCTAGCTCCATCATGCCCAGGATGCATATGGTCTTAAGCAGGTTCCCTCTACTCAAGCAGTCTCCTCTACTTTCTTAAATGTAGAATGAAAATATTTTATTTAATGCATACTATGTAATTATAAGAAGAGTGCTGGGGCTTAGGTGTGGCATAACCAAAAACAAACAGCTAAACTCCTTATTTGTTTAGATTACAATCTCTTCAAAGAAATTCTGGCAGTAGAAATTTCTAGATCATCAGAGACGGTTGTTCTTCCAGTCTCCCTTCACACATCCCGAGTGGTGGCTATGGAAGACCTAAGGCCAATTTTAATAGCTAAAGATGACTATATCCTTGAGACTTGAAAAGAGTATGATAAATTTTTCACTGACATGATTACCAAAAGTCCACTGAAACAAAATACCTTATCAACACAAGCAGACCTTTTAGGGATATTAAGCTAAATAATGGAGAAAGAGTTCTACTTGTTATTTCTAATTTTATTTTAGCAAAGATTAGAAAAAAGCACAGTGACATATTCTGGATTGCTGGTTTAAGAATTTCTGCCACTAAATAGTTCAGAATAACATAGTAATTATTATCAATTGTTAACATCTAGTTTTTATTCTGACCTTGTGATTTATCAGAATCCTCTTCCAAGTCACAAATAAGTTGCTTTAAGGTCTGTTCAGAATCAGGTTCCTAAAGAAAGAAATAATACAGAAATAGTTGAATTCAAAATGTATTTATTATCTACAGAGAGGACATAAATCAGTAGAACTTCACATCTGCCCAGTTATATTATTATCATATTATACAACCCTGGGCAATTTGAAAAAAAAAAGAGAGAGAGAGATAAATAAAATGCAGCCTTACTCTCTTACTAATGACTGAGTCACTTAAGAAATAATTTACATTACACACTATCATATATTCTAAAGGAAGAATATTGGATATCTAACAGAGCAAGCTTCACTTATTTAGAAAACTCATCAATGGGAAAAGCAAATCACACTAGTAGGTAAGTATTTTTATTTAAAACGAAAAGTATTTATTTTAATTGCTAAAGGATTTTAATAAATAACACCGAGAGAAAGATTAAACCATCAAGAAGAGATACAGGCTTATTTACACATCATAGGAAACACAGAGAAGACTATGATGACAGCACTAAAAATGCTAATAGCACCAGGGAACTGGAAATGTACAGGTTACTCTGTACAGGTTACAGATGCCCTCACCTTTGTACTATGGTTCTCCGGACTAGAAGACCACGAACTCTGCTGCTGATATAACAAAGACGGGGACACTGGTGGAGACGGCCGCCTCTGTTCCTCGTTCTTCCGTTCATACACGCGAACTCGGGCACAAGTCATCATACTTTCAAAGTACAAATAGACGGGATCTTTGTCCTCCTCTCGTATCTGTGAGTGTCAATAACAAGACACACCATTACAATGATGGGGAAAAAAACATCCGAGAATCTGAAAAGAGACTTTAATCTTTGTTTCCATTACAGAAGGGTTTTTTTTGGTTTTTTGTTTCTTTCTTTTTCAATACAGGGTCTCTCTGTGCAGCCCTTGCTATCCCGAATCTCCCTCTGAGGGCCAGGCTGGATCTCTCAAACTCAAGAGATCCACCTGCCTCTGCCTCCCAACTGCCTCTAACTACAGCTGCACAAGATCCCACACTCACATCTGGGCTCTGAGGGCACCCATACATATATGGCATACACACATAAATATACATACACAAAAATAAAAAATAAATGATGAAAAAGCTCATCTTTCTATGAACTTGAAGGAAAAACTCGACTATCTTTGTTACTAATCACTTTCACTTTTATCACATTTTAAAATCGAGAACAAATAAACTAAGACAGAGAAGAAGAGCCCTCAGACACATTACCTCAATTCTTCATAGAATATTAACAAAAACTCTGCTTGAAATCTGTCCCCTTTACAAATGGCCTATGGAACTCACAGTAAGAAACAAACCACCACTCCAGCTTACCACAGGATTGGGTTTGGGAGTGTATGCTCGTGCTGGTTTAATTCCAGTGGGTTTGCCCTTCACGGTAGTAGAAGGTATGTCTGGCTGAGGTGACACCAATGGTCTCACAGGCTCCATGACAGAAGGTGTTGGAATATAAACTGGCTCTGGATCTACTTCACCTTCCACTTTCACCCACAGTGGGTAATGTCGAACAGGCTGTTCAGGTTCCGCTTCACATACGGCTTAACAGAAGAGGAGGACATGTTATTTAGGTGCTTCCCTCACAAAAGACAGTAACTTGTAACAATCAAACAGATGCTCCCTGTAAGATCTCTAGTTGTCTTCATATGCATTAATGTATTTATCTCCAACCAAGACAATAGCTAAGAATAAAACAAAGTATGTGTGTGTATATACATACATGTATACATACATACATATATCTATGGCATCTTTTGTTAAATTTATCATGTCTCATCTCTTTAGCTATTATCTTAAAATTGGAGGTGGGAGTAAACCTGTGTGAAACAGAGCATGTGTAGAAGTCAGAGGACAACTTTTGGAAGTATGTTCTCTCTTTCCATCACGTGGATTCCAGGGATCAAACTCAGGTCATCCAGCTTAGCAGCAAGCGCCTTTACTGGCTAAGTCATCCCACCAACCCTTAGATTTTTTTTTTAAAAGATTTATTTATTTATTATGTATACAGTGTTCTATTTGCATGTACTCCTGCCCGCCAGAAGAAGGCACCAGATCTCATTACAGGTGGTTGTGAGCCACCATGTGGTTGCTGGGAACTGAACTCAGGACCTCTGGAAGAACAGCCCGTGCTCTTAACCCCTGAGCCATCTCTCCAGCCCCTTAGATGTTATTTTAAATGGTAATTTTTATTTCAACTTCCAATTGTCCATTGCTTATACATTACATGCTAATATGTTGTGGTCTCACTAAATTAATTCATACTTCTAACAGCTTAGGATTTTTCTCTCTATGGAAAAATGTTCATTTTACTTCTTCCTTTCCAATCTGGATAGGACTGTCATTGTGTAGTTTTCCTGGGACTGGTTTGTTTTTGAGATGTACTCTGGCTATTACCCAAGTTGGTCTAATTCTTGGATTGAACAATACTCCCACCTCAGACTCCCAAATGCTGAGACTACAGGCCATGGCACTTGCACCTTCAGTGCGATGTTATGCAGAGTGATTGAAAGCACGCACATTCTTCCTCATTCTGTCTTTGGGGGAAGAGGAGCACCAGCTCAGTCTTTCATGATTAACACATTGTAAAATGTTTCACAGATCTCATTAACAGACAAATAAAGGGCCTTTCTGTTTCTAGAGTGACTATTTTTATCAGAAACAGATTTTGGCAATTCTTTTTTCTTTTTGGTATTCTCAAGACAGAGTCTCATTATGTATTTCTCACTATGCAGACCAGGCTGGCCTCAAATTCATAGAGACCCACAAACCTATGCCTCCCAAGTGCTGGGATTAAAGGTGTGTGCCACCATGCCAGTCTGGATTTGCTAATTTTTTAAAAATACTCATTGAGAGGATTATATGGCCTTTTAAAAAGTCTATTCTGGTCATGGAAAATTGTTAAGTTCATTTTCTTTTAGACATACATGCAGGTAAAATGCCAAATGCACATAAAATAAAAATAAATAAATCATTTAAAAAAAGAATGCCAGGTTTTATCTATCCTATTATGCTTGATATTGCTCACAGCAAATCACCACATGGCCTTTACACAGCTAGCCATATTTTTGGAGCCCCCCCCCAAAAAAAAATCAAAATCAAAGGCTAAACAGGTGACAGAGTGACAGCCGAAAGAGAATATAGGCAGGTAAAATTAAAAATTCAAGAAACCACCAGGTGGTGGTGGCACATGCCTCTAATCCCAGCACTGGGGAGGCAGGGGCAGGCACACCTCTGAGTTCGAGGCCAATCTGGTCTACAGAGCGAATTCAAGGACGGCAAGGACTACACAGAGAAACCCTGTCTTGAAAAACAAAACAAACAAACAAAAAATTCAAGAAACCACACTTTAGAAATCATACTAGAAAGAACATGGAGTTTTACAAGTCAGAAAAACTACATAATCTTGGGTAATTTAAACTGAGACTAAGCATCAATCAGGTCATTTGCAAAATGGAGAATAAAGCTTCCTCAGCCTAAGATTGCAAAATGTATATGGCATTCTTACAAGGTGTCTGATGATGTTTGTGTTCCTCCTTCACATTAACAGATTAGTGGGATTTTAACAACATAAATCCTTTAAGTCATCGTAATTACAAAAAAAAAAAAAAGGAATCATAACAGTCTAGATTTCATGCAATGAGAATATAGTTTTAATTTATATTCTAGTTATACAATATAAACCTGTAGAAATTAAAATCCTACAAAGAAATGTACAAAGGAAAAACATGCCTCCCATCAGAGATCCACTGTCCCTACCAATAACGAATTTTTTGTTTGTTCTATTTTCCTCTCTCTCTCTGCCTTTCTTTTTTTGTGAGATAATTTCTGTGTAGTCCTGGCTGTCTTTGAACTCAGCTCCGAAACTAATTTTAGCTATCTGTAGCTTTAGTGATGATTGTCATGATTTAGTGGAAACTAAGAAATCATTGGGATGGAAGGGGATGGGCTCTTTAACCTTCAGCTCTAACAACATTTTCACACAACCATTGGGTTTATGTTACTGATTCCTGTTCTATAATCATGCCTGAGTCTTCATGGTTTCTATATAGGTCACTCTATTTTAAAAACTACAAAATCTATCAGCTCATTTTCAAAATCATAATTATGTGATTAATCCTATCCTGACAGAATGTATACAAACCACCTTTTAGAGAAGAAATTTAATCATGCATTCCAATTGTTCAAACAGAGTCTCTTTACTTTTACTAATTGCTCAAATTTTTACCAAAACATTTACTGATTTAGTTACTGTATTTCCTTGTACCAAAAATTTTGCCTTCCCTGTCTTCTTGGTTTTCATTGACAGTGTCATACATCATCTAATCAAGAACATCATATCACCCAGGTTCTCAAACATGATTGGCCTATTTAAAAAATATATATATATATATATATATATATATATATAAAACACATTCGTATTTGTAACTTGTAATTTTCTACTTTAAAGACATTGTTTTCTAGTCTAGCAATGTAGCTAATTCCAAAGAAGTTTTTCTAACTTCTGAGGCCACATCTACTTTGTATTAGATGACTTTTTATGCTCTTCTTTGGTTGGGGAGGCAATTGAGACAGAACATCTCTATAAACGAGGCTGGCCTTGGATTCAGCTATCCTCATTTCTCAGCCTCCTAAAGACTGAGATTAAAAGTGTGAGCCAGCCGGGCGGTGGTGGCGCACGCCTTTAATCCCAGCACTCGGGAGGCAGAGCCAGGCGGATCTCTGTGAGTTCGAGGCCAGCCTGGGCTACCAAGTGAGTTCCAGGACAGGTGCAAAGCTACACAGAGAAACCCTGTCTCGAAAAACCAAAAAAACAAACAAACAAACAAAAGTGTGAGCCAGCATGTTTAGAGAGATTCCTAGTAGGTACACAACAGAAGGCTAGGGAGGTGGCTCAGTAGATAAAGCCCTGCCACTCAAGCATTGAAGACCAGAATCTGGATCCTTAGAACCTACATAAAAGCTGGGCAGGCAAAAAAGCAATCTGTAATCTCAGTACTTGAGAGTGAGATAGGGATCCCTGGGACTAGATGGCTCGCTAAACTAGTTTGTTTCAACAAGAGATCCTGCCTCCATAAATAAACGAAACCTGGGTTCAGTTCCCAGAACCTTCATGGCGGTTCAACCATTTTTAACTCCAGTTTAAGAGGATGTCTCTTCTGACCTTGGAGAACTCCTACATGCAGGTGGTACATATATTCAGGCACACACAAGTAAGTGTTAAATACATGAAAAACATTTTAGAGGGGATTGAGGACTTAGTTCAATTGTAGAGGTTCAGTCCACAGTGCTAAGAAAGAGCGCGCACGCACAGACATACAGACATAGACACACACAGACACACACAGACACACACACACACACACACGATGAGGAGAAAGATTAAGTCATTCAAGTGTTTCCCACATAGACATGAAAACCCAAAGTACAGGTCCCAGCACCAATATTAAAAAACAGGTGTGGCAGTTCCAGAACTGGGGAAGTAGAAACAAGACCCCTGGGAAGTCATTGGCCAGCAAGTCTGGCCACATCAATGAGTGGAGAGCAGGAGGGCAGTGGTGATGCACACTTTTAATCCCAGGACTTGAGAGGCAAAGGCAGGTGGATCTCTGTGAGTTCAAGGCCAGCCTAGTCTACAAAGCAAGTTCCAGGACAGCGAGAACTGTTAAACAGAGAAACCCTGTCTCGATTTAAAAGAAAAAAAAAAAAGTGGAGGGCCAGTGAGATGGCTCAGAACATTAGGAATTTGCCATCAAACCTGACAACCCAAATTTGATCCCCAGGACCCACGTGGTAAAGGGTGAGAACGAACTCCTTCAAGTTGTCCGTTGACTGCCACACTTAAGAATGCATACACATGGCCGGGCGGTGGTGGCGCACGCCTTTAATCCCAGCACTCGGGAGGCAGAGCCAGGCGGATCTCTGTGAGTTCGAGGCCAGCCTGGGCTACTAAGTGAGTTCCAGGAGAGGCGCAAAGCTACACAGAGAAACCCTGTCTCGAAAAAACCAAAAAAAAAAAAGAATGCATACACACATACACATATGCAAAATAAATAAATGTAATTAAAAATTATTTTAATCAAGCCAGGTGGTGGTGGTGGCACATGCCTTTAATCCCAGCACTCGAGAGGCAGAGGCAGGCAGATCTCCATGAGTTCAAGGCCAGTCTGGTCTACAGAGCGAGATCCAGGAAAGGCTCCAAAGCTACACAGAGAAACCCTGTCTCCAAAAAAAAAAAAAAAAAAGAAAAAGAAAGAAAGAAAAAAAAATTATTTAATCAAGTGGAAAGCAACTGAGGAAAACACGTGACTTCAATCTGGTTTCTCTATATACATTCACAGAAACAGGTACACACACATACAACAAGAAGTATACTTTTACAAAAAACTAAGAGAGTTTTAAATTAATTAATACTCACTGTAGGGTGGTGATGGTACGCACCTTTAATCTCATCACTCAGGAGGCAGAGACAGGCAGATCTCTGAGTCTGAGGCCAGCCTGGTCTACAGAGCGAGATCCAGGACAGCCAGGGCTACACGAGAAACCCTGTCTTGAAAAACCAAACCAACCAACCAACCAAACAACTCAACTCACTGTATTCCAGCTTCTTTCTCTTCTTTTTCTCCTTCAATTGTTCATCATCTTCTCTGACTCCTCCTCTTTCCCTTGGTTCTTCTCCCAGTGTATCATAAAACAACGGATCTCGATGAGCAGCCTTCTTATGGAAATGCTTTGTTTTGGAGCCCCCTTTAACCAATACAACTTTTCTTTTCAAACAAGTGCAGCCAAACATGCAGTCTGGTCGACGGCAGTGAGCAGGCTGGCGCTTCTCCAAAGCTAGACTGGAACAGACACAACCCAGGCGACAGAAGTCATTGTTGCATGGAGGAGCTCGTTTCCTTATGATTGTGTGGATAGGTTTGGTTTTGAGGGATGCCTGAAGTGAAGTGAGAAAGTTAAAGTGTTACTGAGTCCTCCCAATACCACCACCAACTTACGAGTCACATACTGACCTACCTTCTGATTATGAGGACTAATACAAGATTGACATAGACTCAAAGGTCAGACTACACACATAATTAGGACTCTGAGTAAACAAGCTCCCACTCTAATGCATTAGCACATATTAGCCAAAGAAATTTCTCATTAAGAGCAAAAATATCAAATACAGGCTATTTAATCACTAGATACCACACATAATGTTCTTCTGCAGAACTGACAAATCTAAGGTGCATACGTCAAACTTAATGTTTCAGGAGGTTTTCCTGAAGCATAAGCAGGCTCATATTGCCTAGACTGCAACAGCAGAGTGAATAACACTCCAACAGCATATATGGTCTGAAAAAAAAAATCAAAAGTAATTGCTATCTACTATTTTCTACAAAATGTTCTAACTAAACAATAAAAGGGAGGAAAGTCATCCATGCATGAAACTTTATGAATGACTAGTAAATACAGGACACATACTAGAGAGTGGACTCAGTGGACACGGTGCTTCCACTCAAAGCAGCCACCTGTAATCGCTGTACTGGGGGGGGGGGGGGCAGAGATGGGGATCTCTGGGGCCAGCTGCTGGCTAACTAGCTCCAGTATCAACAAGAGATCCTGTCTCTATAAATAAAGGGGAGAGGGTCTAAACAAGACAGCTAACATCAACTTTAACTTACAAACACAAACGCATGCACAATAGAAATACACATGCATATATGCACACAACACACAAATTACAGAAAGCATTTACTGCCAACAACTCATGATTTCAGCTCTAGAATTCAGTGCAGAATTTTATTTTTTTACTTATTGTGTGTGTATGATATATGAGGGTGCACATGCCACAGTACATATGTAGAGGTCAGAAAACAAGGTTGTGCAGTTGGTTCTCTTTATCCACCTTTACACTGTTTCTGGGGACTGAACTCAAGTTACTAGGCTTGTGCAGAAAGCATTTTTAACTACTAAGCCAGCTTGCTAGCCCCAGAATTTAATTTTACTTTTTTAATTTATTTGTGGTATGTGTGCAGTGTATGCATGTGCAACTCTGTGTGTGTGTGTGTGTGTGTGTGTATACACACACGTGCGCCACCTCACACATACACAATTGGAGGCCAGAGGTCAATATCAGGTACCTTTATAACTTCCTACATTTTTTGTTTGTTTAAGACAGGGTCTCACTATGTAGCCCTAGCTGTCCTGGAGCTCAGTCTGTAGACCAGGCTGGCCTTGAACTCACTGAGATCCACCTGCCTCTGTCTCCTGAGCACTGGGATTAAAAGCATATGCCAAGCCAGGTGTTGTGTGCCACACCCTAAATCCTGGCACTCGGGAGGAACAGACAGGCAGATGTCACCTAGGTAATTACAACGATAAACCCCAGCTTATCCATTTGCCAAAAGCATCAATGTCTAATTCTAGCTAAGCACCAATGTTTACAGAAAATAGCAAATACTTACTTGAGCAGTAAGCAGAGTTGTCAAGGAGACATCTGCTCGCTCTTCAGTAATGTATGTCCTTGGTTTTCCTTCCCAAAGCGCACAGTCTTCCAGGTCCATAAGCTTTACTTGAGACTTCGACAGCCCTAGAGGGCGTGTTCCTTGCTGCTGCTGCTGCTGCAGCTGCTGTTGCTGCGCCTGCCGCAGACTAATCTGCTTTGGAAACGCACTTTCATCTACAGCTGGCACAACCAAGTTAGTCACCTGATTATCTGAGGCTGTACTTAAGGAATTCTTAGCAATTTTATCTCCTGGGATCACATGAGAGTTTTTCTGTTTTGGTGAAACAGGGTATGGTAAAATAGACTTATAAGATGATTTAGTTCGACCACTCAGTGTTGCTTGTTTGTTTTGAGATTTTGTTTTTCGAGAGGCAGTGGTTACAGAATGGGACTTCACAGAGTAAGAGGTAGAAGGGGAAACAGTAGATTGCTTCTTGAGTACACTATCAAGAGTTCGAACATAGCTGGTACTCTTGGTAGGTAGCTGGTATACTACTGGAGATGTGGGAGCATTGGAAGAGAAGCCCATGCTTGTTTCCATCAGCTTGCCTTCATTTTCCAAGTACTCATCTAGCTTATCACTACAGAAGGCAGAACGGTTTTTCAGTGAAGCCTCGGCATTTCCACCTAGAAATAAGGAGATACAAGATATTTAAACCTTGGAGAGGTTTACATCTCTAGGAAAAACATTCTACAAGGTCAGAAGTACTTAGCTACATGCTATTGAGACTTCAATAAACTGTTCCTATTCAGAAAGAAGAAAAAATAGAAAACCAGGACAAATGAGACAGTGTTTCAGATACAAGTCATAAATCTTTTCACCTAACTATAGAAACCAGTGATGAACAAAAACATAACAAACAGCAAGGGAAAAAAAAAGAAATTAAATGAAAGAAGACTTCAATAGAATGCCAAGGATTATTTAAGAGACCTGAGTCCTCTGAAACAAAATGCAAGGGAAGAGGGAAAGCCATAAAAAGAAGAACATAACATTTAAGGGTTTTCATTTGTTTGGTTTTGTTTTATTTTGAAACAAGTTCTCATTTTGTAGCCCTGGATGTCTTGGATCTGGCACTAGGCAAGAACTCTTGCAATCTACCTTCATTTGCCTCCCAAGTGACTGGACTACAATGGTATATATCAACAGACCTAGCAACATCCCATTTTTAGGAAAGCAAAATATTAGTAAAGATTTAAACATATTATCATTGTTATAAGAATATACAAACTCAAAGGTAAAACAGATTTATTCAGGACAAATGGCAAACTAAGCTGGTTAGGGTATAAACAAATGCAGTGTGAAATAGGTTCATATTGCCAACCAAAACCTTTGGGTTACAAGTTTATTCTAAAGCACGAGACTATCAGAACTACTAGACAATTCTGAAGTATATAGTTCTGAAATGATGCTTTTGTAACTAAGCATAATAAAAGGAAACACAGTTTGAAAGCCGCAAGGATTATTAGGTTTGAAATGGATAGGAGTGGAACCCCAGGTTGTAGCTAGGGAGAAAACAAATACCAGCAAGACTGTTTTCATTTCAGTTTAAAGGAGAGAGGGGAGGATAATGACAAGTAGTTGAATGAGACTGATTTGATTTGAAATAGGGTCTTCACTATGAAACCCTGGCTGGCCTGGAACTCACTATGTAGTCACACTGGACTTAACCTCACAGAAATCCACTTGTCTCCAGTGTTGGGATTAAAAGCAAGTGTCACTAACCTAGGCCAAGACTACATTTTTCAGAACATATGTAGAGTTTAAAACAATCATTAATGACCAGCCAGGCTTGATGGCATATGCCTATAATTCCAGCACTTGGGAGGCTGAGCAGGAGGACTGTGAGCTCAAGCCAGCATTCCACACTCAAAAAGACTTCATCTCAAAAACAGAGAAAGAGCAGGCTTTAAGCTGACTAGGAAAGTGCTTGAGAAGCTGTTAGGACCCTATGTTTAATCTCTAGAACAAAACAAAACAACACAAAAAACAAAAGGCTAATTACCTTCATTCCTAGATGCAGAAGCACTATGAAATTTTCCTCTCCACCCTTTGATCTTGGTGAAGTCATTGGTCTTCCCTGTCCTAGAAACAAAAGGAAACCCAGCATCTATAAAAGAAAAAGCAAAAGAAATGACCAGAGTTCTAGTCGGCCAAGTATGTCAAATTACTATGTTTCTCTACTATGATACATCCTATGTATTAATTCTATGCCAAGAAACAAAAGATTTACTCTCTAAAATACCCTAAACAGAATCTAAATATCCTAAATTGGAGGATAAAAGTAATGCTTTAAAATTTATACTACAAATAACCTAAACATTAAAGAAGAAAAATAGTGTTCAATTATATAAATGCTACACACTCACCAGGAGAGGCAGGGTTGGTTCCTGTAAGGTTCCAAAAGGGAAAGCTGGTGGCTGGAGCCAAAGGCAGTTGTACTCCCAAGTATTTAAGATCAATGCTCATTGTTGGGTCCACTGAATTCAGTTTTAAGCCCACTACAAGAAAAAAGGACCACAGCTCATATTATTTCTCTCTTTGGGAAATTTTTTTTTTTTTTACTCAAAGAGTTAATAAAGGAAATAGTAAAAAGCAAAATGATGAACTAAACAGTAACAGCTCCACTTAAATCTTTACCTTATGGTATTACATATTACCTACCCTTGAATAAGGGGCAAAATCTATGATTTGTTTACAACCAATGGAATGTGGCACAGGGCACGGGAACATTCATGATTATGTACATGTGATAACCTAGAAATGTTGCTTAAGCTGTAAGAAAATAAATTCTGTCAATCAGTAAGATGGTGGGGACTTGGTGGTGGTAGTGAACGCCTTTAATCTCAGCACTTGGAAGGCGGAAGCAGGTAGATATCTGTGAGCTAAAGGCTAGCCTGGTCTATGAAGTGAGTTCCAGGACAGCCAGGGCTACACAGAGAAACCTTGTCTTGAAAAAACATAAAAAAAAAAAAAAAAAAACCTCAAAAAACAAAAAGGGGGCGGGGATAAGCTAAAGGGGAATGGGAGCAGAATCCTCTCTGGCAAATAATGAAGAGAAAAACAAGCCTTGCCAACTGCTTCATCAACATCTTGATTGCCTTTTGAGAACCTAAGCAAGGGACACAAGCCATGCTCATACTGCAAATACACAGAAAATGTAAGATATAAATGTATTTTGTTTTACGTTGCCAAATTTGTAGCAATTCTTAAGCAAAATAAATAAATAAAGCAAAATTCAAATCTTTTATTTTTTAGCCCCTGAGGTTCAGAGTCCTTCTAGAATCTCTAATAAAACCTTGCCAGAGATGGAGTTTCGGGCCTAATTACAGGCACTAATTCTTCAATTATTATCAATGAGCCTAAAATAAGACTTACTTATAAATTAAGAGACAATACTTTGGGAAAATATTTCACCAGAATTTTTACAAAACGAAGGCCAAAAGGAGTTTAAAGGTGACAGAGAGTAACACTGTAATGGATAGGTTACCACTAAAAACAAACAAAAAAAATATATTAAGGAGGCATGTAAGCACTGGAGAAGTCAAGAGGATAAGACAGAGGCCAGTCTGGTCTACAATATAACCCCATAATAAATTATTATATAATACGAAACAGAAGTAACAGGCTCAAGTTTCCAATCAAAAACTCACAAAGGATCTAGGAAGTTGGCATGTGGAAGTCAGGACAACTTGTAGGAGTTATATCTTTCTTTTTACTACAGAGGTTCCAAAGACTGAAATCTAATCATCAGATTTGGCAACAAGTACCTTCACGAACTGTGCCGTCTAAATTTTTTAATTAAGTTTCCAACACTCCTCCAAATGTTATATACTTGTAGACACATAGTGAGGAAAATACTCTTGTATTTATGCTTGAACACTTGTGCCTGTACGTGTGGAGGTCAGAGGCAGATAATAGGTATCTTCCTCAATCACCCTTCACTGTATTTTTTCTGACAAGGTCTCTCAATGCACCTGGAACACTCCACCTTGGCTAAACTGACCAGACAGCAAGAATCAGGGATTCTTTTGTCTCTTTTTTCCAAGCACCAAGAAGATTGCAGGCATATACTGCCATATCTGACTTTCTTATGTGTGTGTATACTGGGAATCAAAGTAAGATCTTCATACTCGATAGCAAACACCCTTTATCTACTGAGCCATCTTTTCAGCCCCAAGAAAAGTGTGTGTGTGTGTGTGTGTGTGTGTGTGTCCTTAAAGATGTTATTTAAGAAATAAAAATAAGCCGGGCGGTGGTGGCGCACGCCTTTAATCCCAGCACTCGGGAGGCAGAGCCAGGCGGATCTCTGTGAGTTCGAGGCCAGCCTGGTCTACAGCGCGAGATCCAGGAAAGGCGCAAAGCTACACAGAGAAACCCTGTCTCGAAAAACCAAAAAAAAAAAAAAAAAAAAGAAATAAAAATAGAACTCTCAACCCCACAAAGCAGCAAAAAAAAAAAAAAAAAACAAAACAAAAAACAAATGTAACCAGAGTTTTAAAACTGCAAAATGCTCCCATTTTGAAGAGAAAACACTGCTTTCTGTGATACATTAAACACACACATACTCCTTATTATATATAACTAGAGTAAGGACCTATATGTGTTTTTAAGTTGAAAAGAAATTTAGAAGCAGAGAAAATAAAAAAATTGCTAGTTGAGAGGTACTGAAATGAAATCAAGGATAGAAGGGAAAGAGAAAATAAAGAACAGAGAAATAAGCAAAAAGAGATAGTAAGGAAAAAAAGGAAGGAGACAATGGACAGAAGACAAACTGGCTTGTCCATACTTTGAAACTAGTACCTTCTTGAAGAGCAGGATGGATCACCTGCTTATGCCGCAAAGACTTCAAATCTTCTATTAATTCCTTTTCCAACTGGGAAATTCTTGTTCTGCAACCTAGTCACAAACAGTGATAAAAAAAAATAATGTACATATCAGAGAGAATAAATGTTCCACACTTCACTACTACAGCCCCAACAGCAAATATATCTGAATGTATACTCTTATATAATACCTGGATCATTTGTGGTTGTAGTTGGAAGACTAGAAGGTTCTTCTGTGGTCCCATCAACTGCATGAATATCTAGCGCCTCCTATATATTAAAAATAAAATCCAGTTTATGTTACTTCTAAAATTTTTTTTTTTTTTTTTTTTTTTGGTTTTTCGAGACAGGGTTTCTCTGTGTAGCTTTGCGCCTTTTCCTGGAACTCACTTGGTAGCCCAGGCTGGCCTCGAACTCACAGAGATCCGCCTGGCTCTGCCTCCCGAGTGCTGGGATTAAAGGCATGCGCCACCACCGCCCGGCTACTTCTAAAATTTTTAAAGGAAATTAAACAAAATGACGATGATGACCAGAGGCTGGAGGGAATGTTCAGCAGGTACAGTGCTTGCCATGTAATAATGAAAACCTGGTTTATCATCCCCAGTACCCATGTAAAAGCTGGGTATGGTGGCACTTTTCTGTAACCCCTAGTGGGGTTGGGGTGAAGGAGACAGGAGGATCTCTGGCGCTCATCGGTCAGCTAGCCTAGCCAATCAGTGAGCACCAAGTTTAATGAGGATACCCTATCTCCAAGAATGAGACTGCAACAACGAAGAAGGTGCCAACCTCTGGCCTCTGCACACACTCACACAGGCATGCACACTGACACCCAAATACATGCATACACCGCTCACACACACAGAAACTTTAAAAAATAGCAACAAAGGCCTAAGAGTATGAAAACAGCGTATTTCAGTAATAGCTTCAAATTCATAGAACAGGAGTAATTGTTCTAGCATTATTGGGGGTTTCATGTAACCCAGGCTGGACTCAAACTCATTAAGTAGCTGAGTTTTACAGTCAATTCCCGATCATGCTGCCTCTCTATCTCCCAAGTGATAGGATTGCAGGCATGTATCACCACATCCTGTGTAATGTACTTTTTATTATTTTCTACAGTATTAGCATTCAATTATTTTAATCATAAGGGGCTAAGATGTAGTCTAGTAGTAGAACACTTGCCTTATTATATACAAGGACCTGGGTTTGATCTCTAGTACTGTTCTCCCCCATTCCTGCTACAAACACAGGGGTGGGGTGGTCAGAGAGTGAAGAGAAGGAAAGAGGAAGAAGGCAAAGAAGAAAAGGAGGAAGGGAGAAAAAGGAAGAGGAGGAAGGAGGGAGAGGAAAAACATCACCACTACCAGGAAAAAAGACAAATACGATCTCACACTAAACCAACATCAAACTATATCTGCCCACAATCTGCATGCTCAGGTCTCAGAGCCTACATAAAGAAGCTTTCTCAAAGCCAGGCGGCGGGCACATGCCTTTAATCCCAGCACTCAGGAGGCAGAGCCAGGTGGATCTCAGCGAGTTCGAGGCCAGCCTGGTCTATAGAGCGAAATCCAGGACAGGCACCAAAACTACACAGAGAAACCCTGTCTCGATTAAAAAAACAAAAACAAACAAACAAAAACAAAAAAGAAGCTTTCCCAGTAACAGAGGAGAAGACCAGGTAGAAAGACATCCAGCATCTACAGTCAACTTAAGAATACTAACTAGACTCCTTAAAACATCTGCATGAAAAATAATATGCATGTAGGGTCAGAGGAGGGCAAACCCTAACACTAATTATGTAAGACTCAAGTCATCAAGACTGCTAGCACTGAGCTGGACATGGTGGCACACACCTTTAGTCCCAGCTCTCAGAGGAAGCATCAAATGGATCTCTGTGAGTTCAAGGCTAGCCTAATCTAGAGCTGACTGCATTCTAGTACAGTCAAAGCTGTGTAGAGAGCCCGTCTCAAAAAAAAAAAAAAAAAAAAAAAAAGACTGCTAGTATTTGGTTCTCTAATACTCTACAACACTGTTACTAACCAGTGGTAGGAGAGATGAAGTATCTCAGGAAATAAAAAAGTGCACTTTTCATATATTGTTACACTTTCTTTGAGTCTGCAACAATGAAAATTCCAAGTTCAATTTCCAGCACCAATGTCAGATGGCTCACAACTGCCTGTAACTCTAGCTCCAGGGCAACCCAATGCCTCTGGCTTCCACAGGCACCTGCACTCACATACAAAGACACACATAAATCTTTTTTTTTTAAATCAGATAAATATCCTGCATATATTATAGTGATATCTAAGCAAAGGTACATTTTTAAAGTCTATTTCAAAGCAAGTAAGTATGTTAAGAGGTGATTACTGTTAACTAAACCAATGTGAAGATACTCATTCCCTTTCCCCAAACATACTCACAAATGGATACATTAACAAAAGTAGATCTTAAATTTTAAGCCAATACATAATTCAAAACAGACCTTAGAAAGAAAGCTGATCATCATAATCTTACCTTTGATTCAAAGGAAACAAAGAGCACACCATCCACATCTTCTAGATCAGGCTTCACATCAGGGAAGGTATTTCCAGGGCCTACAGGAATATTCTTTGTAGCAGTTAAAGACTTCCCTGTGTTTTTAGGTGGTCTCCCTGCCTTAGAGAGTCTCACCTTTCGAGGCCTTCCTCTTTTTCCAGGAGTATTTAGAGAGGCACTCTGGCTAGCATTCACAGTCTTTGAGGGTGTTGTCATTTTAAGCACAGCTGTTCGCTTTTTGCCCAAGTCCTCTTTTCCTGAAAACGAGTCTCCAGTTGATCCCTTTGAACTGTCATTTGTTCTTTCTGTGCTGTTATCAAATACGTCAGGATAGTTCCACTGAGGTTCTTTAAGTAAAGTATATTTTTGTACCATTCTGAGATCTGATGAATGTTTTCTGAGACTATTTTCTGAATCCTTACTTAAGCAAAAGCCAGTCCCACTGGAATTTTCAATATATGTAGGCAAATATTCTAATTCTGCCAACACTGATTTATCTTTTCGAGATGTAGAAAGCATATTATCAGGGAGTTCAGAAATTTTCACTGTGTTTTTGGTGACCGCACAAGGTTCTAGGTAAACCACTGGCATTTTTCCAGCATCTAATTTAAACATTTTAGCTTTAGCAACACCTGGGCTACTCGGTAGCCATTTATTAGATGGATGATCAGCTTCCAAGTTATCAACTTTATTGTGTCTCTTTAGTTGTTTCTCTAAAATAGGATCATCATCGCTGTTGGAGTAGACATCCGTTTCCTCATCTGTCTCTTCTTGCTTCACGGTGACCCCTTCTGGGCATTCACCAAGTTCATAATCATAATCATCTAAAGGCTCCTCTTTAATAACGACATTAAAGTTTCCATTCGGGTTTAACGGTGAGGCAATCTGGGAATCATCTTCAAAACTGTTCGCAGTAAGACTAGAGAGAGAGAGGAAGATAAAAAGTACAGAACTATTCATAAACAAGACTCAAGACGGGAAAAACAGTTAAGACGAATTAATGTATCAGATTTCATGAGCCATTCCTTAAAAACTGTAACTTAACAAAGTACTCAAAAGCAATTTACTAACATAACACATTTATCAATGTTTTATAAAAAAATACAATTCAAGAGCAAAGTTCCAGGGCTGGGAATGTAGCTCAGTTGGTAGAATTCTTGCCTAGAACACAAAAAAGTCCTGAGTTCAATCCCTATCACTACATAAACTGACCCCACTTATATAAATAAAGCATGGGAAAAGAATATAGTTTACCCTTATCATTAAATCAAAATGCAGAGTACCTTATAAAACTTGCTTGCCTTTAGATATTGATCAGATATACAGAACTCCATATTGAAGTCAGCTAGAACCGATCAAAAACTTAAAATGCATGCATCATCAATTGCCAATAAGCAAGAGGAAAAAGAAATGTCTATCACAACTAGGAATTACAATAAATTAATGTGCTTTCAAACTGCTAGTTCATTTCTGTATTTCAGATAAAATATCTAAACAAAATTTAACATCTTAACCAATACATTCTTAGTATACTCAGGTTACTATCAGAAGATCTTCAATTTTTCAAATTAAAAAACTCACTTTTAAGGAATAAGGGTGTGTGTGGCTCAGTAGCAGAATACCTGCCCAACAAGTGCAAGGTCCTAGGTTCAATTCCAGCACCCTCCCCATGCCCCAAAAAAGACATGCTTCCAATGTAAGGATTTACCAGAGCAGCTGGGCAGCGCATTCATGGTAATAGTAAGGTAATGGAACATGTCTTTAATTCCAGCACTCAGAAGCAGGTGGACCTGAGGTGAGGCCAGATCTACATAAAGAATTTCATGCCAGCCAGGGCTATATAGTGAGACCCTGAATCAAAAATAGATAGATAGATATAGATAGATAGATAGATAGATAGATAGATAGATAGATAGATAGATAGATAGATAGATAAAGAGTTTGCCACAAACTCTTCCAAAATAAAAGGCTAGGTTATATACAACTGGGGACTCAGTCTGTAAAGTACTTGCCCAGGCAGGATGTACAAAGCCCTAGGTCAATCCTCAGCATCACATAAATCAAGAATAATGGCACATATGTGTAATCTTAGCACTTAGAAAGTGGAGACAGAGAAAGTAAGAAATTCAAGATCAGGCCTTTGAGTTGGCTCAGTGGTAAAGGTACCTGCTGTTGAGTTCAATCTGATGGTCTGGATGTGATCCCTGGGACCAAGATGGCAAAAGGAAAACCAACTCCCACTAGACCTCTGACCTACACACACACACAAACTAAAAGTAAAAATAATTCAAAAAAGGTCAGCTGAGTGGTGGTGGTGCACACCTTTAACCCCAGCATTGGGGAGGCAGAGGAAGTCAGATCTCTGAGTTTGAGACCAGCATGGTCTACAGAGTAAGTTCTAGGACAGCCAGATCTACAGAAACCCTGGTCTGAAAAACCAAAACCAAACAACAACAACAACAAAAAAGGTCAGCCAGGCTGAGCAGTGGTGGTGCACACCTTTGATCCGGCACTCAAGACAGGCTGATCTCTGAGTTCCAAGACAACTAAGTCTACACAAGGAAACCCTGGCGGGGAGGGGGGCGCGGCTGTGGAACAATCCTTTTCTACACTGTAAATATGTATTACTCTCTTGGTTAATAAAAACTAACAGGCCAGTAACTGAGCAGGAAGTTAGACAGGAAAGCAAAACAGAATGATGGAAAGAAGGAGGGTGGAGTGTAAAGGGACACCAGCCAGCTGCTGGGCAAGCAGGACATGTAGAAAATGAGGTAACAAGTCATGAGCCATGGGGCAAAGCATAAATAGAAATATGGGTTAATTTAAGTGTAAGAGTTAGCCAGTAACAAGCCTGAGCTATTGGCCAAGTATTTATAATTAATATAAGCCTCTGTGTGGTAATTTGGAAAGCAGCTGCCAGGTTTGGGAACAAAGAGTTGGGATGGGAAAGGTCCCTAATGTCTGTTTACATATGGCATTCCAACTTGTGGCTGAAATTTCCACATAAAAACTGAGAGAACTTGGAAAAGAATTCTAAACACACAAAAACATAGTCAAACGAGGCTTCTTGGTAACAGCCTTTACTTCAGTGGGCTTTGTTTTGCTGGCAGTGAGCAGAGGCTCAGCTCCTTTAAGAGACAGCTTCCTGGCTTGGTGCTAGCTGCAAAAACTGCGAGGCTCTTTTCAGAGGCCCTGTTCCCACTTAAATGGAGTTTATGAACAGTGGGCAGCATGCTACTTGTGACAAGTGTGGACCCAGAAACTTCTCAGAGTTAGGGTGGTAAACATGGCTCCCAGAGCAGGTGGTAAACCTACCTCCACCATGAGACTAGACTCTCAGGGAACCGAGGGGGAGGATCCAGCACCAGCATGCCATGATCTAAGTTACACAGCAGGTTTTTGTTTGTTTTTTTGCTCATGCAGACATAAAAGGTTACAGATGTGCAGTAAGGACAGATTCAGATGAAAAGAGCCTCTAAACAGATCACAGTGTTTAAAAAATATGTGTAAGCTTGGGAGAGAGAGGTCAAGAAAAAAAGAATATATAATCTTAGATTTAAATATATAATTTTAAAATAGTCTTTAAAAAAGGAATAGAATAATAAAATATAGTAAGTCACATAAAGATGGAAAACACAGAGAGTCAGGATACTGTATGTTATTCTGCTATCTAAATTTTTTAACTGCTAATGAACAAATGATAACTGCTGTGAGACATTTGATTACGAAAGCTGCTAGGTTAAACCAACCTATATATTTTAAAAATATCTTGACTTCAAAATTTAAGTCTTACTTTGGGAAAGAGGTTCTGCTTTTGTTTCCACAGGAAATGAGAGGCTCTGGATTCATTCTGGGTTATGAAAAATCAGGTTTTATTGAGGAAGATCCCCTCTGAAAAATCTCTGATGGGAATGGATGGCCCAGATGATTCAATGTTTCAGAATGCCTCTGTTGCAGAGTCCTCTGAATTCTGCATACAGAACGGCTTCCAGGCTGCTGGCTGAGATAATCCAGCCTCACAGAATACTCCAGTCATGACTTGACCATACTCATAAATTTTCTCAGGGTCCCCCAAAGATTAGCAGCACCCCAAATCAGCAGGAAGTAGTCTAGAAAACTACACCCACATTTCCAAAAATAAATTATGAATGTTTATCATTTAGGGGGGGGTGTTACAAGTTGTTATTGGCAATAGTCAGAAAAAATGCTGAACAAAGGAGATTAGATTCAGGGATCTCATTCTAAAAAGAAAAAGGGGGGATAAAAGGGGAAATTATTGACTCTACTTTTAAACAAAAAAAACTACTAGTCTCAAATATTTTACATTGGTATGGATTTCTGTATATTGATATAAATTTGAGGTTATTTTTGTTATGCTGTATGTGTTTCTACTTTTGTTTGGGATATTGTGCTTAAGCAACTCATTTAAAAATATAATGTATAGTTAAAAAATACAGGTTAATAATTAGTCATCTATAATTGTCACCTATATCTATCAAACTTATAGTCATGTTAGTTAGGTTTTCTAGGTATACAGAGACATATTTCAGATAAATACATAATCTTCAAACACTTCAAAGATCTACAGAATATGGCATTTAAAATGTTTTAATGACTTAGGCTTCCTGTGACAGTGAGATATGTCTGCTCCTGGCAGCACCAATCTACTTCAGAGAAAATGCATCAAAGAAGCTCTGTATGGAGTTTGTTTTCTTTATGGCAAAAGCTAGCCATGTGGGCAAAGAAACTGTCCTTGCCTCAATTGCTGACAGTTACTGTCCAAACTGGACAAGCAGGACACAAGAAAAGCAACTGACAAACTTTGCCAAGACAAGGTAGGACAATCCTTCAAAATTCCCTGCTTCTCAGGAAAATAGAGATATGTCAGATATGCTAGGCCTGTAGGTCAAAGATGAATGCCCCAAGGTTGCAGAGAAAGTTTGGGTGACTGTCCAGGCAGCCTAATGGCCCTGTCATTAGGTAACGTTTCATCCTTCTAGAGTCTTTGATTGAGTTGAAGACTAGAAAGTCAGTTATAATTTCTCTTAGTTAGGATAAAAGGGTAAAAATTAGACATAAAATTTAGGGCTCACAAAGATAAGATAGATGATAGAGTATTTTCACATAAAACTTAGGGCTCACAAAGATAAGATAGATGATAGAGTATTTTCTTTAATTTTGCCAAATACAAATGGACATTGTTACTGTAATTCTTACTTAATAATTGTTTTTGTTGTATATAGTTTTACTTATATCAAGGTTAAAAGCTTCCTTTTTAATTAAACAAAAAGGGGGAAATGCTGTGGAACAATCCTTTTCTACACTGTAAATATGTATTACTCTCATTGTTAATAAAAAGCTAACAGGCCAGTAGTTGGGCAGAAAGTTAGACAGGAAAGCAAAACTGAGAATGATGGAAAGAAGGAGGGTGGAGTGAAGAGGGACACCAGCGAGCTGCTGGGCAAGCAGGACATGTAGAAAATGAGGTAACAAGTCATGAGCCATGGGGCAAAGCATAAATAGAAATATGGGTTAATTTAAGTGTAAGAGTTAGCCAGTAACAAGCCTAAACTATTGGCCGATCATTTATAATCAATATAAGCCTCTGTGTGGTAATTTAGGAAACAGGTGCTGAGTATTTGGGAACAGGAGGTCAAGACAGGAAATGTCTGCTTTACGGGGTGTGGGGGTGAGGGGTTGGGGGGATGGAGCAGGGTGGAGAAAGAAGCTCAAGGTTAATCTTGAATGCATAGTAAATACAAGGTGTTCCAGACCAGCCAGAGCTATATGAAACTATCTCATACAGCCAGAGCTATATGAAACTATGGCATGGGTGGGTGCTAAGAGTATCTACAGGGAAGTACATATAACCAAGAAAAATTTTTTTTTAGAACTGACTGAGGGAGAAAAAGGCCCTCCTCCCAATTAGTTATTTAAAGGACTTAAAACTGTACCAATATGGGTCTTGTAGACATGGTAGGACTAAAGAGTTAGGTTAATGTCTACGATTCCAAAGAGTGCTCCAGATGAATTTAGAATGATCAAATATAGGAATCTTAAAGCTAAATCTCTGTACCTCTATTTTTTCCTTCTAAACACTTATACAAGTCACACTATATACACACAACACACTCAGTTACAAACAATATACAATGAAACAGAATTACAATTTTTTTCACTTCAAAAATCTATTAAAAAAAAAAAAAAGAACTGCCAGGCGGTGGTGGCGCACGCCTTTAATCCCAGCACTCGGGAGGCAGAGCCAGGCGGATCTCTGTGAGTTCGAGGCCAGCCTGGGCTACCAAGTGAGTTCCAGGAAAGGCGCAAAGCTACACAGAGAAACCCTGTCTTGAAAAACCGAAAAAAAAAAAAAAAAAGAACTGTATTAATGTTATGTCCCTGTTCAAAGGTATTTTGAAGGCTTTTGAAACTAAAAAGACATTTCCTAGAGTGTGTTTTTCAACATCCAATTTCATCTATCCTGCTTTTAGGCTCACCTTAAACAATAACCTATACAATATTTCATGTACTACAGCCACACAAATCCAATTTACTATCTTAGTTGAACAGAATACAATTCCAAGTCTAATATATCTCAATGGAACACTAACTTTTTTCAGGACTTACTAACTTAATGTACATTGACTTCATAAAATCCAAATATATCAAATATGCACGATCAACTATGTGAGCAGTAGTCACTTGCTCCTGTACAACTTGTTCAAAAATCCTTCAGTGTGTAACTTCCATTCTGGTTAAAATGCAGATAACAAAGCACCAGTAGTCTCTCACTGTATAGCTGAGGAAGAACTTTCACTTCAGATCCTCCTGCCTCCACCTCCCTAATGATGGGTTCATTACAGGCATTCACCATCCCTCCTGCCTTTGTGCAGCACTGGGGATGGAAACCAAGGCTCTGCGCATGCTAATGGAGCATGCTGCCCACTGAACTATATTCCCAACTTCTACCGTATACTTTAAATAAGCAAATTTTATGTCATGTGAACATCTTAGGACATAAAAAAAATTCTCATTACGTGTTTGTGTGTTTACATGTATTAGTCAGAGGACAACTAGTGGGAATCAGTCTTCTTTAATGATGTGGGATCTGGGGGATCAAACTCAAATTAACCTGTTTAGACCTGGCATCAAGTGCCTCCATCATGCTGGGCCACCCCAACCCCAGCATCTTAAATATTCTATTGTGTGGGAACCTACGGAGGTTTCCTAGTGATATCTGAGCTTGTTTTACCCAGCAGGACTACATAAGAGGATGCCTGGACCACCAGCCTGAGTACTAGGTATTTGGAAGGGTCTACACTTGGCTCTATCTAGCAGGGGGAGGTCTTTTGCCTTGCCCCTTGGCATTGTTATAAAAAACCCTTTTGAATAAAAGTTCTGGGCCAGTGGATTTTGATCCAGGTCCTCCCAAAGCTATCCTGTCTTTCTTCTTGGCTAGACCTATCATTCTACCTAATACTCCTTATTCCTCCCTCCTCCTAGTAGGAACCCAGTAAAAGGTGGGGGCTGATCCCCCACACTATTCTTGATTGCTTTAGACAGGGTGTTACTATGTATCCTGGCTGACCTGAAACTTGTTATAAAGACTAGACTGGCCCAAAGAGATCTGCCTGCCTCCCTCCAGAGCAATAGAATTAAAGGTGTGCACCACTACACCTACCTAGTCATTTTAAACTTTTTATAATTTAAAAAAAGAAGAAGTAACCTAGGTTTGGTGGCTCATGTTTGCAATCCCAGCACTCAAGATGCTGAGGCAGGAGAATTATGCCCAAGTTTCAGGCCATCCTGGGCTAAATGCTAAGTTTCTGGCCTCTGCAGGCATCCAAACTCAAATAGGTACTCACACAGATACCAAAACAAAAATGAAGATAAATCTTTTTTTTTTTAATTTAATTATAGTGGAAGGGGCCACATATACACATACAGCCAGATGACCTCAGTTCAATCCCTAGCTCCACATGATGGCAGAAAAGAACTGACTCCCGCAAGTTGTCTTCTGACTTCCACACACGCACCATGACACATACAATCCACATTCACATACATACATACACAGTAAATATAACCAAAAAAGGGGAGAACTAGGGCTGGAGAGATGGCTCAGAGGTTAAGAGCACTGGCTGCTCTTCCAGAGGTCCTGAGTTCAATTCCCAGCAACTACATGGTGGCTCACAACCATCTATAATGAGATTTAGTGCCCTCTTCTGACATGCAGACAGAACACTGTATACAAAATAAATCTTAAACAAAAAAAAAAAAAAAGGAAGGAAGGAAGAAAGAAGAAAGAAAGAAAGAAAGAAAGAAAGAAGGAAAGAAAGAAAGAAAGAAAGAAAGAAAGAAAGAAAGAAAGAAAGAAAGAAAGAAAGAAAGAAAGAAAGAAAGAAAGAAATAAGTAGCCGGGGTGGTGGTGGTGCACACCTTCAGTCCCAGCACTCGGGAGGCAGAGGCAGGCAGATCTCTGTGAGTTCAAGGTATGCCTGGTCTACAGAGTGAGTTCCATAACAGCCAGAACAACACAGAGAAACCTTGTCTCAGGGGGAAAAAAAACAACACCAAAACAGAGAGAGAGAGAGAGAGAGAGAGAGAGAGAGAGAGAGAGAGCGAGCGCAAAGTGAAATTTTTAAAAGGCAAACTTAACAGCTTTCACACCTGAGTCTATGAGCATCTCTGAACTAATTATTGTGTATAGTGTGAAGGAGAAGGCTTATATTTTCCAGTGTTCTACCACTGTTTGCTGAAAACTGGCCAACTACACTACACAGAGAGGATAAAAGGAAAATAACAGGCATGAGGCTTGTACCTGTAGGTAGTAGTTTCAATGTGTCCCTCAAAAGTCTGTGTATTAGAAACTTAACTCCAAAGTGATGTTAGTATCATTTGGAGACAGTCTTTCTACGGTAAAGATTGGATGAGTGCCTTTGCAGAGCATTCACAGTATTTTAAGAATAAAAGAAACCAAGTCTAGAACACTTGCTGTCTCACAATGTGATACCTCCCACCATGTTATGATGTAGTGAGAAGACTTCCACAGATGCCAAACAGATACCAACTCTATGCTCTTCAATTTTCCAGCCTTCAAAACAAAAAGGCAAATAATTTACCTTGTCTCTGATATTTTATTCTAGCAAAATAAAATGAGCTAAAATGTTGTATTGGGAAATAATTTTAAATAGTAAAGGATGGGGATGTAGCTCAGTGATAAAATTTGCCTAGTATGCCCTGGGTTCAAACTTGAGCACACCAAGTTGCAGGTCCGGGTGCCAGAAGCCTGTAATCTCAGCAATGCAGGTTAAAGCAGGAGGATCACAAATTCAAGGTCTACCTGAGCTACAGAGTGAGTTCAGGGCAGCATAGGCAACTTACTGTGACATTTTCTCAAAAGGAAAAGAAAAAGGGAGTTGGGAGTTAACCCAGTGGTAGAACATTTTCCTAATACACATGAGTCTCTTTGGTCAGTCCCCAATACAATCATAAAACAAAATAGGTAGTATGTGAGCTAGGGAAGTAGTTCAGTTGGTGGAATATCTGCCTACCATGCATAAGACTTTAACTTCAATCCCCACAACTGAAGACAAAAAGAGAAGGATAGAAGAGAAAGGAGGGAAGACAACATGTAAAGTTGATAATTGGGGGCTGGGTAGATGGCTCACGCAGTGATTAAAATAGGACTGAGGAAGTAAGTATGAGGACCAATGTTTGGAACCTCAGAACCCATAAAATGCCAGGTGGGAACAGTAGCCAGCCCTTAATTCCACCCTAGGTAGGCAGAGACAGGACCCCAAAGCCAGCTGGCTAGCAAGACCAGCCACAGTGACAAGCTTTGCACTTGACTAAGAGACCTTGACTCAATGAATAAGGTTGAAGAGTCAACATCACCATTGGGCCTTCATGTGGCCCCATCCGCACACATCCATAAACACATAAACACACACAAATACAAAATGGTGGAAAAAACTAGTAGTTGACATTAGTCTTATGATTTAGACAGAGGCAAAAACAGGAACAGCTAAAACACTAAAGTTCTTCTAGGAAAAAGAAGTAAAGGATGGCCTTAGGGCAGTAAACTCAGCTTATAATGAGTACATCTTATACTTTAATTGGATAAACTGTTTCAGTTATAATTTAGTTTTTCCCTCTTTTTCACAATAATGAATTGTCTACATGTGTTAACAAGAAACAAGCCACAAATAAATAAAAGTTCCTTAGTTTTGATCAATTATCCAATCTGGCTGAAATTCTACACCCTGAATCCAGTGGATATTCCTCACAGAAAAATAACTTGACCCATCAAAGAATTAAAAGTAGGTGTGGTTTGCTTTATAGCAACTGATATCAACATCTACTGCATTCCACAGAACCAATGAATTAACTCCAAAATCTGGCCCATCTCAATCTTCTTTTTATCTCTAAGAACAGGAAAAACTATTACCCAACTGGAAAGATGATCAGTGGGTAATGGTGGTCGTCACCAAGCCAAATGACCTGAATTTGATATCCCAGACCCACATGATGTAAAAGGGAACACCAACTCCCTAAAGTTGTCCTTTGACATCCCCCCCACACACACAAAATAAGTAAGTAAACAAATAAATAAATTAATGAATAAATGTAAGAAGAAAACTATGACTTACCTTTCAGAAATTTCATGCTTCAGTTGAGGAACTTCAAGTGCTGTATCAGTACTAATAAAACCAAGAAAGTCTTGTTTTACATTATGAGGCGGCTTCTCCAAAGCGAGGCCTGATGTTTCATGACCCCTTAACACAGGATCAAAATCACCTGACTGTATCTCTGATCCCTCCCCTTCAGTAAGACGAACACTATTACCTTCTTGATCAGAGCTATTCCTTTGTTTTCCATCTCTCTGGGGTTTACTGCTTAACCCATCATCCCGAAAGCCTTTGGCAAATGGATTATAATCTATTTTCAACTGGGTAATCTGAATGTTTTGATAAGCTGTTACTGCAAAGAATTCAGTCTGGGGGAAAGTAAAAGTATGAACACCAGGGCCATTTAATTGTATCACTTCTGTAGCCTTTTCTGCAGGCACCAAATGAAGCCTTGGCAGGTAACGATGCATAGAGTGCAAGATAATATGCCCTTCCTGGTCCAGTGTATTGTTGGTAAGTTTGAGTTTATAGAAAGATACTGGTTGATGCATCCAATAATGACCTGTGGAAGGAGATTCTGGATGAATAAAAACTCTCCCCAAAATATGGGGTTCAGCCTTCCCACTGGGTTCCCACCAACGACCATTCCACTTATAACGATGGTTATCCACAGGAGATATGTCCATCACAAGGATATACTTTAAATTTGAATCTAAGCCTGTTATCCAATAGCGACAATAAGGAAACATACGTCTTCCCTGCTTAGTCAGAATCATCTCTGTACTTCGATTATGGAACTCATTCCACATACTATTGTTATCAAGGGTAACAGTGATTCTTCCCACAGTACAATCGGCTGGAAGGCAAATCTTCCCTTTAGATTTTCCTGGTGATGATACCCTACTCGACAAAGTACAGGCATCTCGATTAGTAACCAAAATTCCTTGATCGGTTTTGCCATTTCCTGGCTGTTTCAGGATGACAAAGAAGGTAGGTGCTGCTCCTGTCACTGTCCCACCATCTTGATTAGCCAATAGAATTTGCTGTTTCTCTTCCATGATTCCAGTGAGACATTCAGTAGTAAGAAAACCGTAGTCAACACATAGTCACAACTGCCTTCTCACCCTAAAAACAAAAAAACAAAAGAAAACATTAATCAACTCAGATTTATGCAAACAAAAATACAACTGTTATGGCTGAACTATAGCTCATCTGGTAGAGATTTGCCTAGCACTCATGAAGCCCTGGGTTCAATTTCCAGCACTGCAAAAACCAGGAGTGGTAGTGTAGGCCTGTACTCTTAGCACTTGGGAGATGGAGAGAGAAAGAGTACAAGTTCAAAGCCCATGCTCCAGTAAATAACCCCAACCCAATCTACTTCAACTCAGTGGAGGTCAGTGAGATGGCTCAGCAGGAGAAGGCACTGGTCAGACAAGCCTGTAGAACTGAGTTCAATCCCTGAACCTCACGTGAATGCAGAAAATAGATTCCAAAACTTGTCCTTTGACCTCCACATTCATCAGGAGGTATGCAGACCCACACAAGCACAAAATAACCATTTATTTTAAAACTTTAAACTCACTGAATTACAAAAAAAGAATATTAATGTAGGAGGATGACTTGAGAAAACATGTTTCAACTAGAAAGGGAAGGAAGAAATGAGGGTAATGAGGAGTAGGGGTAAAATGACTTAAAATCCATTATATGCAAGTATGAAATTGCCAAAAAAAAAAAAAATTAAAAAGAAGTTCAAGGGAGTTCAGGATCACCCTGGAACACAGATCCTGTCTCAAAAAAATAAAAATACAACTGATTGTGTTATCCAAAAAATATTCCTAATTCTCCTAAGACACTGCTTATATCCTTCTTTCAATCACTATAAGGGTGTTCTTTAAAAAAAAAAAAAATGTGGTAGGAGTTCTTGAAACAAGAGTCAGAGAACAAGCTAGCCTCAAACCTATAACAGTTCCCCTCTGTCTGCCTCTCAAGCACTGGGATTATCCTAGTCATTTCTATCATTTTTGTAAACTAATTTTAATCTAAGTAGTTAAAAATTACTCATTCTGCCGGGCGGTGGTGGCGCACGCCTTTAATCCCAGCACTCGGGAGGCAGAGCCAGGCGGATCTCTGTGAGTTCGAGGCCAGCCTGGGCTACCAAGTGAGTTTCAGGAAAGGCGCAAAGCTACACAGAGAAACCCTGTCTCGAAAAACCAAAAAAAAAAAAAAAAAAAAAAAAAAAATTACTCATTCTATCTCTCAAAAAAAATTAATAACACTGTAATCTTACACACACTAAAATTATGTGTTCATTTGAGAAAAACTATATAAACTGGTATAGTTCTCATGATATCCTGGCATTTAGAAGGCTAGGGGAGAAAGATGACTTAAGCTGAAGGCCAGTTTGGGCTACAGTCAGAGAAGCTCCTGGATACAGAAGACGGCTGTTCCCTTGGGCAGATATTTAGCTTAAACTTTCGTTCTGCTTTCTAATAAAACTTCGTACTACTTCAGAAAGGGAGTTGTAGTTCAGTTGGTACAGTACTCACCTATTAAACCAACTAAATTGCCTGGCTTTGATCCCCAGCTCCATATAAATTGAGCATAGTGGCCGAGCACATGCTTATAATCCTAGCACTAGGGAAATGGATGTAAGAGAATCAGAAGTTCAAAGTCATCCTGGACTATGTGAGATTCTGTCTCAAAAAAACAAAAACAAAAACTAGGGCTGGAGAGATGGCTCAGTGGTTAAGAGCACTGACTGCTCTTCCAGAGGTCTTGAGTTCAATTCCCAGCAACCACATGGTGGCTCACAACCACCTGCAATTAGATCTGGTGCCCTCTTCTGGCCTGCAAAGACACATGCAGGCAGAGCACAGCATACTAAATAAACCTTAAAAAAAAGTCACAAAAACAAAAAACAACAAAAACTAAAAAGGAGAGAGGAGAATGAGAGGGAAAAATATGTAAAAGCATAAAATGAGATAATTTTCATTTTAAAAATGATTCTGATACTTATGAAATAATTTTTAAAAAGATTCATTTACATCAAGTTCTTTGAGAATGGATAAAAAATTAATTTTCACTCTCATTCCAAAGAGAAACTGCAGAATTAACTTTATTATTAGCAGTGCTGGGAGTTGAACCCAGGGCATCAAGTATGCTCAGAAACTGCTCTAACACTGATGACTATATACACTATATACACAATCCCAGAATTCGTTCTTATATGGCACTGACAGGACTTCATAAATAAATATATCCAGCTAGTTCTACAGCAGTATTTCTCAACCTGTGGGTCACAACCCCTTTGGAGTTGCCTAAGACCATCAAAAAACACAGATATTTAAATTACAATTCATTACATTAGCAAAATTACCATTAAGTTATGTGGCTGGGGGTCACCACAACATAAGGAACTGTATTAAAGGGTCATAGCATTAGGAAGACTGAGAACCACTGTTCCAGAGGGATACAATCCTGGCCTCACTCAAGCTGGGATTACAATTAGGCTATTATGCCCACCTGCTTTTTATGTGGGTACTGGAGACAGGAACTCCAGTTCTCACATGGAAGTGCTTTATCTACTGAGCCTTCTCTCCAGGCCCTGGTGAACATTTAATGGCTCAAAAGTCACTAGCAACAGGGCATGGTGGCACATGCTTTAATCTCAGAACTTGAAAGCAGAGCCCATCCTGATCTGCATAGAGAGTTCCAAGAAACCCAAGACTAAATAGACCCTGTCTAAAAAAAAAAGAAAAAAAAGTTGTAAATAGCCAGGCTTGATGGCTCACACCCATAATCTCTGCCATCAGAAGGCTGCTGAGGCCACAGGATTGCCATGAGTTGAGACTGAGATAAGGGGGCTGTGAGATGTGTGTTACAGCTTTGAAGGGAAAGATATCCTGGCAGTCAGGACCTAAAGTATATAACACACCAAACAACAAACCTCACACAAGAGATTTATTGAGAAAAATCAGGAGGGTGGCTGCCTCTGCTCCAGCAAGCAGCAACAAAGAACTGAGCTGGAGGCTTGCTTTATACAGGGTTTCCTAGGGGTGGAGCTTTCCAGGGTGACCTGATCTTGGACTCTGTGGGGCAAAGCTTGGCCTCCTCCATCTCAAGGGGATAGGTCCTGTTATGATGTTCCGTTGGGGGTCATCAGGGGCAGGGCCTGGCCACTTCCGCCTCAAGGGGCTTAAAAGAAGGGGGTTTAGTTCTTTTTTTTTGGGGGGGGGTGCAAGACAGGGTTTCTCTGTGTAGCTTTGGAGCCAATCCTGGAACTCGCTCTGTAGCCCAGGCTGGCCTCGAACTCACAGAGATCCACCTGCCTCTGCCTCTTGAGTGCTGGGATTAAAGACATGCGCCACTACCGCCCAGCTGGAGGGTCGAGTTCTTAATATAAAAGCACTAATATACATGAGCAGAGATAAGCTCCTATGGCTTGGAGTAGTTTTTGTTTAATCTGTTTGCTGCTTTGTTTGTTTGAAGACAAGTTCTCACTATTAGATAGGTTGACCTGGGATGCGTTCTTCAGGAATACATTGGGCTATGGAGTCCTGGGATTGAAACGACTGAAGTATGTGGATGTTTACTGTACAGTGCTGGGAATTAAACCCAGGGCCTCAGATCGGTAAGATTTAAAATAATTATTCTCTAGAACTGCCTTAAGATTTTATCCATAAAAATAACTAGCTTTCTAAAACTAATATACTTATATCACACCTATCACACATTTACAAAACAAAAACAATTTCACAAGTCACCTGGTGACTGCAATATATGTTTAAGCTTAGAGAACTCACCAAAAGTTACACACCATAGTAGAAATACACAATGTTTGGTTTTTCCTTTGCCTAAACAAAGTTAAAACTGAAAACTCAAATTGGGGAGGAGATGTAGCTCAGTCAGCAGAGTGCTTCTTGTCTAGCATACACAAAGCCAATACCCAAGTACCATATTTTAAAAAAAAATTAGGCAAGAAAATCAGTTCAATGACACTCCACTTAGCAAGTTCAAGGCCAGCCTGTAAGACCTGCCCCATCTCTCCAGCAAAGAAAAAAAAAGATCAAATTGCTTTATTTCAACTTTGTATACAAGCATTTTTTTAAAAATGTGTAAATATGCATGAAAAAAGGAAAAGTCAAAACTTGCAGGCTTGCACAAAGTCTTTTTAAAAAAAAACAAAACTAAACCTATCAATTTATTCCATCAGTTAACCAAAATACATAAAATCAAAGAGCCAATTTATGGTCCCAAACTCCTAGGAACTTGAGATACAATGGCTACAATTTAAAACAGGATTTCCCCCCAGTAGTGCTGGTAACTGAACTAGCCAGGGATTCCCGTGATATGCAAGTGTAAATAATACCCCTGAACTGCATGTATCCCAGCCCTATGTTTGATTCTTCTCATCTACGGTTCGTCAGTTGGTGAATATGCTGTTTCACACATACAAAAACGACTCTAAAGTCTAAGATAACCATAAATGTTCATTGCAAAAATCAAATGTACTTTAGAAATGCGAGGCTACTCCAGAAAAGAAAAAAAAAATCCTTTCCAGCAATACTGGAATACTCTGTATTTTGCTCTCTTAAAGTTTTAACAAAGGACGAAGACTGGTGATGCTTATCTTTAATCTCAGCACTGGGGAGACAGAGGCAGGAGAGTCTCTGTGAGTTCTAGGCAAGCCTGGTCTACTTACATTTTAAAATTCAAAAATGTTTACTTCAGCCTTTCCTCATCAAGCATTTACGTAGATTATAAGTTAGAAAGGGCCTAAAGTAAGTTTAGTTGTAAAAGGACAAATCCTTGGTGATTCTTGAAGTCCCCTCACTACATATACACACAATCTCTAAGGAATATGATTTAAAACAGTGTAGCAAACTGCATCAATTGTAACAAACTCAAGAGTACCATTTTTTTTCTTCCAGTGGTCTTTGGTAAATTTTTACTATAATGGTGACTCTGATACAACCCACAAAACATACTATGTAGCAATTTAATGATTTACATACGGTGTCAAGAAAATTCAACTACATCAAGTCAAAATTCCAAGTCAATGTATTACTTTTAAAACACAAATTTCAAATGATAGTCAACACATTCTGAATGTTGCCCAGGCTAACCATACCCTTTCAAACAATAAATTAAATTACTGTATTACTGTATGGCAGGTTCACTACGATGTTTGTCCCTTAAGTTAAATCGCATTTTGAAACTCAAATTTTATTAAGTATTCCCATTCCTAGGTATCGATCCGAAACAATTTAGGCTAGTAAGCTTTTAGGTGCCTACGAGTTACTAAGTAGAATCTGAAAAACTAACCTTTACAGCAAAAACGGAAAGAAAAATCTGAAATAAATATGCCAAAGCACTAAGAGAACTAAATTTCTTTTATGTTGCAGTTAAGGGGACCCAACTCATTACCTGTGTTTAAAAAATAATAAAAAATAAAAACAAAAGGCCCCAGTTATTCTGCTTTTCAACTACAGAAGACAACTAGCCAGAAACAGCATGAAAACGATGTCGCAAAGGAAACTCTTCTACTGTAGAGTCCCAAGGATCACGTGCAGCCAGACGGAACCCTGTGATCCCAGAGCTGTTCAGCTGCTTTCGGTTACCTTGGAGACTACACAGGAGCCACCCCGCCAGCCCATTTCCCAGCAGCCGTCACGCCACTCGCCCGCACCTTAACTGCAGCCTTGCTGCGGCGTCGTGCCCGAAAGGAAAGCAGGCCAGGCAGAGATTACTAGGCACTCGGCCACTCAAGGTTGGCAAGCTCAACACGCACAGGCTGAGCATAAGTGGGCTCTAATGTCTCAAGATCCATGCGTCGGATCCGGCGGTGAACAAGAGTGGGTCTCCCTCAGACGGAGATTTTCCCGTCCTGCCAATCAAGCCGCTCTTCTTTTCAGACACTCTCCACCCTTCCCTGCTTCCATCCTTTTGCCAAAGGGACATCCCTGGGGAACGTAAGTGAAGGCAAAAAACTTCACAGCAATACATTCTGCCACCAATTTCACCAGTTCGAAAAAGACTCCCAACTTCTCTAAATAATCTTCGAACACAGATTCCCCAATTTAGTAGTGATAAGCTTACTAATACCCCTGCTCACCTTACACTCAAGCCAGAACCTACTTGAAAATTCAACAGAAAGGGGAAGTCCTATGAACAGAAAACCAGTCAAGGCTTCCCACAAAGAAAAAAAAGAAAACAACACCTGCTTTTCCCCACCTGTTTTCTCCGCCTTCGATTTGCACTTTCAAATCACGGGTCCTTTGTTTACAAAGTTCTCATTCCCATTCAACTCACTCGCCCATTCCCATCGCCCCTCCCCATTAAATTCGTGGCCTTGCCTTCATTTGACCAGAAATTTCACGCTGGGGGACGTTTGTACAGGTGTCAAAACACTGGATCCAGTTCCTTAGAGAAACTGACGTTGGTTGTTTCCCTGGGAGAGTTAAAACCCCCAGAGCTGAACTGTAAAACCTATGCCTATTCAGCACAGGTTTAGACCTACAGCCAGGCTAGAAACGTCACGCGGAACGTGCCATGCTGTTCAACACCCCACGCACGCGAGGATAGGGCCATGCCATGGGCACTTCTCACCCCGCCCGCCTCGTGGCCACGGTCTCCGGCGTCGATGTTCCTAGTTAGTTCTCGGAGACACGGAAGTAAGGTCGGGGAGGAGCGCGAGATGACATGCGCAACTCACTCCAGGGACCAAAGGCTGCACCGCGCAAGGCCCAGCCAGGCCCAGGCGTGCGAAGCTCTCTCTGCGGAACGCTGGTCAAGCCGTTCAAATACACAAGTGGTTTAAACTCTCAAAAAACTCCAATCGGGCCACTACTGAAGCGAAGCCCTCCACCCAGGACCGAGAGTTACCGTGCGGGGCGTGGTCGGCCTCACCCCGAGTCCTTCATATCCCTCTAGGGGCGGGTTAATCTGAAGGGTTCGCACACCTTGTGTCCGCTTCAGCTGAAGAGCTTGCGCACGCACCGGACGTCCACGTCACCGCGCACGCGCTCCTACCCGCTTGGAGCCCGCCGCGCAGGCGCAAAGGGAGGCGCGAGCAGCACCTCTTCACCCCTCCCCCAACATCAGGAGGCCAAACGGCCCGGAGCAGCGTCAAGACCCTTGGGATCCGCCCCCGGAGCCGAAGCCGCAGCCTTTTCGCGTCTTAGCAACCCAGAAAGGGCTACTGAAACTTCCAGAATCAAGAAAGGCGAGGCAGGAGAGAGGTACCCAATACCCTCAACCTTGTACTCGAAGCCTTCGTGAAAATTCTGAAACCACAGCCCACCGGGTCTTTCTCAACTAGACTTTTCAGCCTTTCCCAGGGGATCCTCAATGGCCCCGCCCTGCCGTACCCAGCCCCACCCACACAAGGCTTCGTGGACCCCCCCTCTCTTCACAAGTCCATCAAAAGAATCTGAGGACCTCCTGTACAAAGTGCTGTGGGGTTGGAAAGCGCCAGAGCACTGGAAAACCTTGAAGCAAACACCATGAAAGAGAAGAGTAAGCAATTTTCCAATATTGACCAACAAAGAACACTAGGAAAATAAGAGAAAGCCTCTCTGAGAGCAGAGAATGGAACCTTACCCACGCCTGTAATCCCAACACGGAGGCTGAGGCAAGGAGGACTGCTGCGAGTTCGAGGCCAACCTGAATTCCATAGTGAGTTCCAGTTCCAGGACAGCTTAGCCTGCCGAGACAAAGGAAAGAGAAGTTCGCTAAGGGAAGAAGAGCTGCCACTAAACTGCCTGATACCAAGATGAAAGATGTCTACAAAAAAGTGGTCAAGAAATTTGCCTGAGAACTTTAAGATTCAGTGCCTTGATCGTGGGTATTTTTTGTTTCTTCAAGGCACTGAAATTTTAAAATGCAAAGAAAACATTAACCAACAAGTATATCAGGCAGTTGCAAAACTGGGTCAAAGAACAGTATTTCTCAATCAAACATCAAAAATTTTAGTTTTCTTTCTCTACTAACTACTTTCATGCTGCTAATCCACCAGTTAATAATGTTTAAAGTGAAAAGGGTACAAAGAATTGAATAGAAAGACAAACTGCAGTCCACATTCCCAAACTTTTCACTCTCAGAATTGGGAGATAATAGGAAAACTCATTCTGACAATACAAACACTTGTGAAGAAAATCAAGATTGTAAGGATGGAATCAAGAGGATTGATCTGACTTGCTTCTTTTCACTTAGCTCTTCCTGAGAAGACATGTAATACATAGACAGAAATTGCCTATTCTAATCAAGCCCAGAACTAAAGTTTACAGACTTCTGAAATCATTCTGAAACCCATGATTCGGAAAGACCATTCAAGATCTTAGGCAGAACTGAAAAAAATCAACCGTTTCTTTAACATGTTCCTCTTCTTTGACTCCAAGAACCTTCCCTACTAAAACCAAGATGCCTTCTCAAGGGTTGTAATGTCTCCTCAAAAATTCCATTTTCTGAGACTAAAATTAGAGTTTATTTAGTATTAAAATGTCTGCCCCTAAAGTATGAATGACTTCATAGCACCTTCAAAAAGACAACCCAAATAACCTCTAATTGGAAAATCTGTGAAAACAGCTTGCATGGAAGAGGGTAATGGAAATGCTCTTTGGTGCTCTTTCCTTACTCCAGGCAAACATGAAATGCCACATTTCAACGACTTTCACCAACTGCTTACTGATTTTCACTGCTAAGACTTGTTGGTTTTCTGAGCATATCTTCTATCTCGTTACCAAAATTCTATGTCTGTTTGCTCTAACATTCTGGGCTTTCTCTTTGTCTTCTCTGAAGACCTCTCCCCACCATTTCTAGAGCTTCTTGCAGACCTCCACTGCTGACAAACAAAACAAGCCAAAGCTATAAAGTAAGTTCCAGGTCAGCATGAACTACCTATCTCCAGAAGAAAGGAAGGAGAAATGCAGCTCAGTGGTAGAGTACTTGCAAAAGTACACACACAAAGCCCTGAGCTCAATCTCCAGCACTAAAAATCTAAAAGCTACAACTATATGCATTTCACGGTGAGATTGGGGTGGAAAGGAGTAGAAAAAGAAGAAATCCTTATAACAAAAGTTTCAAAAAGCCAAACCAGGACTGCCCTGAATATAGCACAATGTCAACCTAATCACTAAAGCTGATGCAGGCTTCATCTTACTGGAATTTTCAACTTGTTTCTCATGGTTTACCTTGCTCATTCAAGCCTAACTCACACACACACAATCTTTCCCTTGATTTAATTTTCAAAATTGTACTAAATATTTGGGGAGGAAAAAAATAATGCACAGAATATAAAGAATCTGCTTAGAATGTACACAGATTTCATCTATTTCATATACATGCCATTTTTAAGCAAGAAAATTGCCTCCCCAGCACTGAGATTATAAGCCTCTGCCACCACACCCAGCTTTTTATGTGGATGCTAGAATTTCAAACTCAAATGCTCACACTTCTGTGGCAAGTGCTTTACTTAATGAGCTACCTCCCTAATCCATCCCTACACACAAATATTTAAGTGCCTTTTACATGTTGAGGACAAAGGGAAATATTGTCATTTCACACACTGTTCAGATGTCTACACTATAACTCTTGGCATAATTTAAGAGACAGACTCAACACAAAAAGATGTATCTTGCCGGGCGGTGGTGGCGCACGCCTTTAATCCCAGCACTCGGGAGGCAGAGGCCGGCGGATCTCTCTCTGTGAGTTCGAGGCCAGCCTGGGCTACCAAGTGAGTTCCAGGAAAGGCGCAAAGCTACACAGAAAAACCCTGTCTCGAAAAACCAAAAAAAAAAAAAAAAAAGATGTATCTTAAGCAATTTATTCAGACAGATTTTATGTGTTGATGCTTGTAACCACTGACTTTCTTTTAAGCATTTAAGAAAAGTGTGTCTAGGGGCTGGAGAGATGGCTCAGTGATTACAAACATCAGCTCCTCTTGCACAGGACCTGGGTGTGGTTCTCAGCACCCACACAGTAGCTCAGAATTGTCTGTAACTCCAGCTCCAGAGGATCTGATATCCTCTTCTGGCCTCCATGGGTACCAGGCACACATGTGCACAGACATACATGCAGGCAAAACACTCATACACATAAAATAAAACCTGAAAAAAGAAAGGAACCTGCCTAAGAGGAAAAAAAAAAGGCTTCACTATTATGAAGAAAGTATTAGCACCCCTGATGGAAAGAGTCAACTTCATAAAGTTGCCCTCTGAACTCCACATGCACGGTGTGGCATGCACATCCACCCCATATCATACACACACAATACTTTTAAAAATACTTTTAAAAAAACCTTTTAAATGTATTCCCTTCTACTGCCTCATATCTTAGGCCACAGAACCACGTTTCTCACATTTTACCTAAGAGGATCTTCCCTAATCTTCTTTCATTCATTCTTAAATGTCATTTGTTAAAGAAACTTCCTACTAATGAAGAGGACTGGATGGAATATAGCAAGTGTAACTCACATTTGGACTCATGGAAAAACCCAAAGCCTATGGCAGAAGAAAAACACTGAACAGTTGTGCAAATACATGAAACAAGCCATATTTATTTTACATGAAGTGCACCACTGCCTCCCAAAAAAGATTATAGTAATCAACATAGGAGTTTCTGCCACCAACTCTGATTACCTAAATTCAGTCCCTGGCAACCCCATAAAGAGCTGGGCAGTGGTGGCACACGCCTGTAATCCCAGCACTCAGGAGGCAGAGGCAGGCAAATTTCTAAGAGATACTCAATAACCTTTATACTGATACTTTGGTAAAGTATAGAAAAGATAGTACAGCCAAGGTCAAATCACCAAACTGTTCTGTATCTAAGAAAACCGAGGACACACAATGGCACTAGAAGAAGCAGGTCAAGCTACCTGTAAGCTTAAGTTGGGCTCCAGGCATCAGACCCAAAAGAGGAAGGAGAAACCTTGTTTTGTCTAAAAAGTAAACCAAAAAAGATTTTAAATATTCTGTTAATAAACACTAACTTGTGAGATGACTCAGTGGGTAAAGGCACTTGCCACCAAGACTGATGACCTGAGTTTGATCCCCAGGACTTACACATTAGAGAGAACAAATTCCCTCAAGTTATCCTCTGCCCTCCACACCCATGCCATGGCATATATTCACACACCTACACACACACACACACACACACACACAATAAATGTAATAAAAACTTAAAAAAAAAACCCTAAGAGAATCCTGTAACCAACAATGCAGAATCTAAACAATGGGATTTATAATAACTTTATTAAAATTGTAAACTGTGCTATAACCACTGGAGGGCAGGGAATAACTAAGAGACCTAATAACTAATAAGCTAAAAGAGGAAAGGTGTAGAAATATACAAATACTATTTAAACAACTCAAATATAGTACATAATTCATTATCTAAAAAAATGTTTTCTTTCAGACAATGTCTCACATAGTCAGCTCAAGCTGGCCTCAAACTTCTGATCTTCTTTCTCTCCACCTTCTACCTCCCAGGTGCTAGAATCACAAACCTGAACCACCATACCTAGTTTATGTAGCATTGGGAATCAAACGCAGGGCTTTGTGCATGTGCCAGGCAAGCACTCTACAATCTGATCTTCATCACCAACTTCCCCCTCCCCACCTGTTTTTGTTTGTGAGACTGGCTTTGAAACTGTCACACCACCATGACTGACTGAGATTTTAAAATGCATTACATAGGGGACAACACTTTTCATTCTACAACATGCTCTAGGTCAACTTGATTAAAAAATAAAGAAACTAAATATGATTAAGCACACCTTTAATCCCAGAACTAGGGAAGCAGATGTAAGTGGATCTCTGTGAGTTTGAGGACAGTCTGATCTACACATT